CCTCCCTCTGCTGTCATGACTAGCATTCCTCGTTTTATGTGCTGTCCCGGTCCTGTCAACCCCAGCTTCTCTGCTAGTCGCTTCCCCAGCATCACGCTCTGTGCCCCCGTATCTAAGATTGCGGTCCTTGCCATTTCTCCTCCCACTGCTACTGTTCCCGCTCCTGCTACCAGCACCGTCGCTTGGCTAGCTAGCCGCTCCTTGGGATGCCTGGCCGGCTCCTCTTCCCCTTCACCCTTCTCCTCTGGTGCTCGCTTAGGCCTGCTCCTCTCCTTAACCGTGTGTTCCTTTCTCCCATCCCTGCCCCCGCTGCGCAGACCCAACTCCTCCCGGCTGCGCAGTACCATAAAGTTGTACTCAGGCTCCGGCTCATCTCTCCCCTCTGCTTCATCATCCTCTTCCCTTGCATATAAGCCTGCCTCCTTCTCCTTCTTCCCACCCAATGCCTGCAGCTGTGCCTGCAATCTCCCTATCTGCCCTTCAATCTCCTCTGGCGTCCTTCTTGGCCCTCCTGTGCGTTGGTAGCAGTCCTTCCCCTTATGCCCCCGCTTCCCACACACCTCACAGGTGGGTGCATCCAGACAATCCTTTCGTCGGTGCCCTGGCTTCCCACAGGTGTCGCAATTTCTGCAGTTTCTCGCCAAATGCCCTGGTTGTTTGCATCTGTGGCAGGTGCGTGTCTCCGCTCCTCTCTCCTGTCGGCTCTCTTCTCTCCCTGCTATCTCAGGTACCATTGCTGCAGCCCAAGCGGGATTCTTTCTCTCTGTCGGCCTCGGCAGGTACACTTCATACTTCCTCTGCGCCAGCTCCACTCTTTCTGCTAGCTCAAACACCTCCTCAGGTGTTGCGTCCGCCCCTAGCTCATATACTCGCATTCTCAGTCCTCCTGCCAATCCCTTGTCCAACCCATTCAGAAACTTACTGATGATCATACTGCTGTCCGTGCACACCACGTCTTCTGCTAGATTCATCAACCGCCCATAATACGTCAGCAGGGATTCCTCGTCCCTCCTCTTGAACTCTTGAAATTCTTTGATGCGTGCTGCTGTGTGTCCCGGAAATTGCTTCCTCAGCCGCTCCAGGAACAGCACCGTCGGGTCCTCATCCTCATCGGCCCTTCTCAGCCACTCCCCCATCTTCATGCGATACAGAGTTTCTGCTTCCCCCCCCAGCGTGTTTGGCAGGCTTAGGAAAAAGTCTATGGGATCCATCCCGCTTCGATCACACCGGTACTTGACATTGCTTATCTGCATCAAGTAGTTCTTGAGACTCGGGCCCGTGCTTTCGTTTCCTCTGAAGCGTACCGGCACCTCCACCCGTGGCGCTGCCGTTGTGCCCCATCTCCCCATGTCCCAGCTCCCAGAACCTCCCCGATCTGACATGGCAGCCCCTCGCTGCTTCCCTTTTTCTCCTCTGCTTCCTGCGCTGGTCCCGTACAGTGCTTGCTCCAACCCCTCACGAGCTGCTCTAGCCCCGCTCGATCCTTCTCCATGTTGCCGTCGCCTCCTGGTTCCATCTGGACTCGCACCTCTCCTCTGGTCGTCTTCGCGGTCTCTCCTGTACCTTTCCTGATCTTCCCATCGTCTCTCTCCCTGCGCAGGTGAACGTTCCTGACGATGCCGCACTTGCTCCCTTCGCTGCTGACCTCCGCCTTCTGCTCTGGAGCCGTGCGGTGATCGCCTTTCCCGGCCCCTTTCTCGTCCTTCTCCGTTGCGCTCCCGCTCCCACTCAGGCGGGCTTTGCTGGCGTCGCTCCTCATAGCTCAGCTTGTCTTCCCGCTTTTCCCGATCTGCCCACCGGGCTCCGCCCATCGCCATGCGCCATACACGGTCATAGCCTGGCCTTGGCTCAGGTGAGCGGAAGACACCCGCCGATGCCCTCTTCCCCTCTTCCTCTTCTCGGCGTGCCCCCGTTCGGCGCTCCGCTCCCTTGTCGCTCCCACGCGGCATCTCTTCGCGCCGTCCAGCAGGTGAGTGCTCTTCATTTCTGTCTTTTTCGTCATTCTCCCGCGCCTTTCCGCGATGTACTCGCTCTCCTTCATTCCTTTTCTCGTACCCCTGCCCTCCTTCTTCCCGCGCAGCAGGGAAATTCTGCCCATTGTCGGCGATGTCGCGCCTTCCGCCGCCCCGCGCAGTGGGGGATCCTTTGTCATAGGCCGCGTCGCGCCTTCCGCCGCCCCGCGCAGTGGGGGATCCTTCGTCGTAGGCCGCTTCGCGCCTTTCGCCGCCCCGCGCAGTGGGGGATCCTTCGTCGTAGGCCGCGTCGCGCCTTTCGCCGCTCCGCGCAGTGGGGGATCCTTCGTCGTAGGCCGCGTCGCGCCTTTCGCCGCCCCGCGCAGTGGGGGATCCTTCGTCGTAGGCCGCGTCGCGCCTTCCGCCGCCCCGCGCAGTGGGGGATCCTTCGTCGTAGGCCGCGTCGCGCCCTTCGCCGCCCCGCTCAGTAGGGAATTCCTCGTCGCCGGCGATGTCACGTCTTCCGCCGCCTTGAGCAGGCTGGGGTTTTTCCCTTTCTTCCTCGTCACCCTGCTCGCTCGCAGTATCCATGTCCACGTCGCCATCGCGACGCACTTCATCCACCCCGCGCTGGCCTTCCGCCAGGTTCCACGGGTTGCTGCTCGCGGGCCGCCTCCATGGCTCTGATCTGACGCGCAGATCCTCCCCGCTTCCTTCCTGTCGCACGCCCGTTGGCGTCACCGGATCCGCGCGATACGCCGCCCGTCGTGGCGAGCGCCTCGGCGATCTCCCACGCTCCCTGGAGCGCCTCATCCGTGACGGAGATCGCTCCCGCCGCGAGTACGTCCGCTGCATGCGCAGATCGTGGCGATCCATGTCGCCGGTCAACTTCTCTCGTTTTGTGAGAGATTCCTGCTCCCACAAGCTGGTTGCCCTCAGTGGCGTATCACCTAGCTGCTTATAGCCTTAGAACGGTGAAGTAAATCCACTATAGTAGGCAAACAAAACGAGAGAACAGGTTCTAGTGGCTAGGCTAGGCTACTCTATTCCCTACCCAGAGTCACGCCCATTACCATTGCCTTGGGTTGGGTTTGGGTCGCCTTATGCCTTACTGGTCGCTGCAGATTTCCTGCTCCTCGAGGCGCTTGTTACTCCTCTTCCCAATGTCCCAATTCCCCATGCTACCAACTTCGCGTCATTCCCCTGAAGCCCAACAACCCTTCCGTAAAGTTGCATAACCACAACCTACACCCTGCTACACCAACTCTAGCGTATAACCAAATATATTGTTTTTTATCACTATATTTGGTGACAAGGCGTCCACGTGCTGCCATTTCTCTCCATCTTGCAGGCCACGAGGCACACACACACACGGGGAGAGAGAGACACACATAGAAGAAGGTTAGAAGCAGCAGGTGGCGAGTGGTGGACCCACAAGCAACAGACACGACTCTTGCCTTGGCGCGGCGACACCCTATGACAGTTCACGCCCCCCCCGCAAGCAACCCCCGGCACGTACCATGCTCCTTTCACTGCTCTCCCACTCCTGCGCCACGCCTTAACTTCAGGCGTGCTGCTCCAGGCGTGCTGCTCCTGGCGTGGTGCTCCTGGCGTGGTGCTGATGGACTCACAACTCCTTGTGTGCTGGCCTGGCCATGGAGGGGGGAGGGAGGCAAGGGGATCATGTTAGCCACATGGCCAAGGGTGAAGGGAGACGGGTAAGCTCTGAGACACCCTGACAGGAGCACGGGCGGCATTCAACAACCAACAACAAGAGGCAGCTTGGTTACGATAGGATAAGCTGCACCCACTCCTCCTTTTCTGCTGCAGCCGCCACTGCAGCTGCCATTGACGTTGCAACTGTCTGACGGTGCCACCACTGGCACCGCTGCTGTCCATGCTGTTGGCTCGGCACTTGGCTATGTCTCACTCCTCCACTGCTGCTGCTGCTGCCACCAGTCTTCCGCTGCTCGCTCTAGATAGGAGCTGCTGATAAATGGGCGGAGATTCGAGACTGCAGAGGGCAGGAGTGGAGAGGTTTCGGAGCTGAGAAGAGTGCCATGAAACTCTGGCAACACACCAGCAAAGATACCGGGCACTGTCGAAAAATGATAGACATAACCGGATTAAACAAAAGAATGCAAGAGAACGGCGAATGGAGAAGCGGTGTACTAGTTGGTCTGATGGACTCACAACTCCTTGTGTGCTCGCCATCATCCCGCAGCTGCTGCAGCCACTGGTGATCACTGCCCCTTGAGTGCTGGAGGTGAAGGGAGGAAGGAAGGCAAGGAAGAGGAAGAGAAGGGACTGAGATAGAATGCCTGCATGGTGCATCTGAACTCCTGGTTACCTTTTGACTTGAAGAAACTTAGCATGAGAATCAAGGCGCCGTTTCTCCTCACAAATGCTTGCCTCTCCTCCATTCCCCATCCGCTCCCTCCCCATCCGTCTCGCAGGCCGTGAGGCACACACATGCATGAGGAGAGAGACAGCCACGCAGAAGCGAAGCAACAAGGGAGGGTTATAAGCAGCGGGAAAGGGGGCGAGTGGTGGAGGCAAAAGCAACAGACACGACTGTTGCCTCTGCGCAGCGACGCTCTACGACTCACTTCACGCCCCCCCCGCAAGCACCCCCTGGCACGTACCATACTCCGTCAGCCACCCTGCCACTCTGCCTCTCTGCCACTGCTCGGCGCCATGCCTTCACTTCAGGCGTGCAGCTCCAGGCTGCTCGGTTGCTGCTGCAGCCTGCACCACGCCTTCGGCACAAGCTGCGCCCTGCCGCTGTCTGTGCTCCCGGTTGCTTTGTTGCTTCTGCTACTGCAGTCTTTGCTGTCATCGCAACCACCAGTCGCTGCAGAGAGGAGGAGAGGACAGGAGAGGAGGGGTTAGGGAGCTGAGGAGAGTGGCATGATTATCTGACAGCACCGCGCTGCAAAGAATCATGGCACCGAGGAAAGATGGTAGACAAGAGAGAACGGAACACGGAAAGCAGGAAGATGGTGAAGTGGTGAACTGCTTGATTCACTCACTCACATCCTACAGCCACTAGTGATCCCCGTCCACTCGCTGCCAAACCCGTCCACTCGCTGCCTCCCCCATCCTCTCGCTGCCACCCCCATCCTCTCGCTGCCACCCCTGTCTACTCGCAACCTCCCCGTCCGTCTCGCAGGACATGAGGCACAAACACACATGGGGAGAGAGAGACACACACGAAAACGGCACACCAAGGGAGGGTTAGGAGCAGCAGGAGAAGAGGCGAGTGGTGGAGGCAAGGGCAACAGACATGACACTTGCCTCTGCGCGGCGACACTTCACGGCCCCCCTGCAAGCACCCTCTGGCACGTACCACTTCTCCTCCTTGGCAGAGCCTGCTGCTCCTGCACCACACATTCGCCCCAAGCAGCACCCTGCTGTGGCCCGTGCTCCACGCTCCAGGCGTGCTGCTCCACGCTCCAGGCGTGCTGCTCCACGTTGCTCGTGGTCTGCTGCTGATACCCGCAATAACAAGGAACCGTGGCTTGTGAGTTAGGCCAAAACCAACCTGGCAAGAGTTCAAAGAAGAAAGCAATGAAGAGCATGCATGACAAACACAGAAGGCAAAGCGTTCGGAGGAGAAAACACTTGGCTGAAAAGTCAAGGCACTGTTGCTACTGCTGCTTCAAGTCACCAGCGCTGCTGCATTCACCAGCGCTGCTGCATTCGCCGGCGCTGCTGCATTCACCAGCGCTGCTGCATTCACCAGAGCTGCTGCATTCACCAGAGCTGCTGCATTCACCAGTGCTGCCGCATTCACCAGAGCTGCTGCATTCACCAGCGCTGCTGCATTCACCAGTGCTGCATTCACCAGCGTTGCTGCTGTGTCTCGGGCAGGAACGAGACCCGCACACTTGTCACTTCTCGTCCACTCCCTGCCATTTCCGATCTCACAGGCCACGAGGCACACACACGCAAAGGGAGAGACGCACGCAGACAGAAGCAGTGGAACAAGGGAGGGTTAGAAGCAGCAGAAGAGGAGGCGAGTGGCGGAGGCAAACGCAAGAGACACGACTCTTGCCTCTGCGCGGCGACTCACTACGACTCAATTCACGGCCCCCCAGCAAGCATCCCTGGCACGTACCACTCCTGCACCAGTTCATTTCAGGCGTGCTGCTTTGAGCCATGCCTTCACTTCAGGCGTGCTGCTCTGAGCCATGCCTTCACTTCAGGCGTGCTGCTCCAGGTTGCTCCCCTTTCTCCTCGCAGTACGGTTGTCTCTCGTGCAAGCCAGAAACGGCAGCGGTGTCGATTCCCCATCCACTCGCTGCCATTCCCGTCCGTCTCGCAGGCCGTGAGGCACACACGCGCATGGGGAGAGGGACACGCACACACACAGAGGCGGTGCAACAAGTGATGGTCAGAAGCAGCAGGAGGCGAGTGGCGGAAGCAAGGGCAACAGACACGACTCTTGCCTCTGTGCGGCGACACCCTACGACTCAATTCACAGCCCCCTTGCAAGCACCCCCTGGCACGTACCATGCTCCAGCTGAATGTTTTCCCCTACTTGGCAAAATCTGCAGCTCCTTCAGCCCAAGCGGCACCCTGCTGCGGCTTGTGCTCCAGGCTCCAAGCGTGCTGCTCCAGGATGCTCGTGGTGTGCTGTTGATACCTGTAACAGGAGGGGTCTGTGGCTTCTGAGTTGAGCCAAAACCAACCAGTGGCGAGATTTCAAGGAGAAAGCAGTGAAGCACATGCAATACACGTGATGAGCGCTTGGCATCACAAAAGGCAAAGCGTTCGGGGGAGAAAAACTAGGCTGAAGAAACAAGCGCCGTTGCTACTGCTGCTACGACTCACCAGCGCTGCTGTTGTGTCTTCGCACCGGTGCAGGAACGGAGCCCGCAAGCTTGTCACCCCCCGTGCACTCCCTGCCATTCCCCTCCATCGAGGGGAGAGATGCACGAGGACAGAAGCAGAGCAACAAGGGGAGGTTTAGACGCAGCAGGAGAGGAGGCGAATGGTGGAGGCAACGCCAACAGACTCGACTCTTGCCTCTGCGCGGCGACGCCCTACGACTCTCTTCAACCCCCCCTTGCAAGCACTCCCTGGCACGTACCACGCTCCGTTTGCCGCTCGCCAGGTAAGGTAGCAGAAAGGAGGCTCGAATCGAAGCGGCGTGGTTCGGCTTATCAAAGAGAAGCGGGGATTGGCTGTCGAGGCTGTGGCAGAGGTTAAATTTGAAAACTTTGGAGGGAAACTGAAGGCTTGGTGCGAACAGACGAGACGAATGGAAGAGAAAGGGAGATAGAAGTGTAAATGTTTCGATCTGGCAATGTTATGTGTATTACTCATCAACATAAGTGGGGTGCGAAAACTAGCCTTCTAAGAATGCAAATTTTCTGCAAAACATTCGAACACAAAACCTACTCTAATTAGTCTGACATATAAACCCTCGACGTTTTGTGATCAAAGTTCCTTCTGGGGAATCAGAGTGACTGAATCAGCCATTGTAATCACAAGATGTCAAGGTGAACATACTGGTTCCTTGTTATCACCACTCTTCAAGCAGCAACTCTCTTGCACGATTGTGAAACATAGTTGAGTAGCAGCGGCTTTAATCTGGGTTGATACAGGGCATGTGACAACTTGTGGACTAGCTCAAACCCTGTGAGACGAGGCCAGTGCAGAGTGCACTGCTGCCTGCAACCTCTCGGATAACACTCTCAACCACCCTCTACCTCCCACCACCACCCCCATTTCCTTGACTCCTCCACCTGCTGCTACCGCCGCGGCAGCTGCGGCAGCCGCTGCTGCTGGTGGTGGTGGCATTTCCTTGATCGCCCTGCCAATCAGCTGCTTACACCTGTCCCAGTCCTCTGCCTTACTCCAACACGCTTTCCCGCCGTGACTGCCATCAACGGCCAGCAGAGACAGCTGCAGAATCAACGGCCCTCGTGCACCGGGAGCAACAGAGGCAGCGCCTGCACCAGCAGCTGCCGCATTGGCAGGGGCGGCGGAGAAGTGCAAGCGGAGGCGGACCGAGATGCAGTGAGCCAGCCAGCCTGCGCCGCCCGCGATTTGGACCGGCAGGTGGGCGGCAGAGAGGGCGGCATGGTCCATGAGCAGGACAAGAGAGAAATCCACTCGGCTTTCTGCCCGGCTGTAGCTGATATCGCTGCGGTCGGCTGTTTTACCACTGCCAGCTGCATTCCCGGCTGTAGCAGAGCCTGGGTGAACCTGGCCTGCAGATACACCTCCCCCAGATGAGCCTCCACTGTGTCTCCCAAACGAATCTGGGAGATCCCAGCCTAATCCGATGCGATTCTCAAAGCAAAGGTCTACTGCGATCCGGGCGGCGGGGGGAAGGGCAGGGATGTTACCTGCCCCAGCTACACCTGCAGAAGTACCTCCCCCTGATACTGCCTCCCCTGCTGCTGCCCCGCCTGTTCCGGCAGCTGCGGCTGCAGCAGCAGCCAGCAGTCGCTGCTGCTCCCGTCTCAAGGCCAGCAAGCCCATGAACTCGCGAATCACAGCCAATGGGAGCATGACAAGCGTCACGAAGGAAGACAGGCGGGACACGTCGAAGGGCTCCACCGCCACCTTGCGCGTGAAGAGGTCGCTGATCTCCGCCAGCTCAGCAGGGCTCATGTCCACATCAGCGTCGGGTGTCATGGCGGGCGGGCGGCGCTGTGGAGCCATGCGGGCGTTTACAACCTGGATGGGGGGTTGCGGGGCAGGAGATAGAATTGAACACGCCCTATGCCTGCCTGACACACTCTAGCTACTGTGCTGGTAGTGCACACGTGGCATGATATGCTATGGTATGGCATGGCATGAAATGGAAAGGTATGGTCTATGACAGCACAGCATTGACCTTCACTACAGCATGAGGTGTAGGGATGGCATGATGTGACATGGCATGTTACGACATCGTACCAAGGCTATGGCATGATATAGAAGTGCATGGCATGGAAGGGCACTCACTTGAAGCATGAGTTGCAGCTGGTCTCCAGCAGTAGGGCGGCGATGGCGGTGCAGATTCACCATGTACACATAATTGCTGGAGCAGAGGAGACGGAGGTTTGGCAGGAAATCGGGGGAGGGGGATGGGGGAGGGAAATGGGGGAGAGATATGGGGGAGGAAAATGGGGGAGGGAAATGAGGGAGGGGGATGGGGGAGGGAAATGGGGGAGGGAAATGGGGGAAGGAAATGGGGGAGTGAAATGGGGGAGGGAAATGACACAAGTGCACAACTCAGCATGATATGATGACAATACAGATTTGCCATGCGCACTTGGTTCTTAAGAAAGGGGAGAAAGAAAGCTGCAGATGAAGGGTAGCACAAGGACATGAGGACTCACCCGATGAAGAACCGTAAAGCAGGCTGCTCCGGATCCTGCGACAGCAGCCCAGCCTCCCTGGTCCCCATGGCCGGGCCCAGCACAGCCGCCAGCACGGAGGGGAAGCGAGCGAAGAGCGCGATGGTCCCAAGGTACCGCAGCATGCTGCGCAGCACCCGCTTCAGCAGCACCACGGGCACCCACGCCCCGCCGTACCCGCCATCGTCTGACAACCCCACCATCGCCGTGTGGGACTCTGCTCGCACTGAGGAGGCGAGGGATGCTGCCATGTGCTGCCACCGCAGCATCTCCACCCTCTGCTGCTGCTGCTGGTGATTCTGAGGATGCATGCTTTGCTGCTGCTGCTGCTGCTGCTGCTGCTGCTGGTGATGTGAGCTGCTGGGACCGGCCGAATGCTGCCCTCCTGCTCCCAGGCTCTCCATCCCCGATCCTGTCCTCCCGAGCCTGCCAGCACCCGGACCAGCAGCAGCAGGAGCGGTGGAAGCAGGAGGAAGAGCAGCAGCAGCAGCGGGGGGCAGGTCAGGCGCATGTGAGAGCTGTGAGAGCAGCAGAGAGACCTGCTCCAGAATGAACGGGCGGAACTGTGGGCAGGGCAAGGACCCTCCCAGAGACAGATCCCCTCGAATCACCCCACTCGCTGCTGCTGCAACACCAGCAGAACCACCACTGGGTGACCCACTCGGATAGCCAATGCCTGGAGTGGGTGCTCCCAATGCCCCACCTCTCCTGTTCCCACCACCCCTGTTCCCGCTCCCAGCAGCACCACTGGGAGTTTCCGCTGCAGCCAAAACAGCAGCAGAGCCTTCAGGGAACATCGCGACGAGTCCGGGCGGCAGGTCGTAGGATTTGGGCGGCGGGGCGGGCTGCAACCAGACGAAGTCGGGGGCGAAGCAGCGCATGTGGATGGCAAAGTCGTGGCGGTAGACGATGCGGAAGGAGAAGGGGCCGCGCGGGATGATTGTGATGTCTCCTGGGAGGAGAGAGCACAGTGTTGCTCCCACCATCAGCCCTCGAGATGCCCCTGCTGCTGCTGCTGCTGCTGTTGCCGCTGCCGCTGCTGCTGATGATGCTCCTGCTGGGGCTGCAGTGGGTGCTGCAGTGGCAGCGGCTGGGCCACTTGCTGAGGCTGCAGCGGAACCAGAAGCTTCAGGTGGTGGTGCTGTAGTAGCAGGAGGAGCAGACGCAGTAGCGCCTGCACCAGCTGCTGCAGCATGTGCAGGAGCATTAGAATGCGATGGCTGCACGTGTGGCTGCTGCTGTGCATGGTGGTGTAGGTGCGAGGGCGGCAGGGCGGAGGGAGGGACGGAGAGGGAGCGGAGGGGGCGGATGGCGGAGTGCAGGGCGTGCAGCGGAGCTGCTGTGAGGCGAATGGCGTCCAGCAGCAGCCCTGCATCGTCCATTCGCACACACTCCTCTAGGTACTGCCCACGGACAGAGGACGAAAAGGAGGGGACAAAGAATAAATAGAGAATGGGATTCGGATGAGCGGAAAGGAGCGAGAAGGATTGGGCTGCTGTGAGGCGAACAGCATCCAGCAGCAGCCCTGCATTGTCCATGCGCACACACTCCTCTAGGTACTGCAAGGGGTAAAGGAAGACAGGGAAAAAAGGAAAAAGGAAGGACAGAGTCGGTTTCCAGGCTCTGGTCGGCGCTGCTGTGCGGCGAATGGCATCTAACAACAGCCCTGCATCGTCCATGCGCACACACTCTTCTAGGTACTGCGAGGGACACAGGAAGACAGGGAGTGAAAGAAAAGTTCTGAGAGGTCTCAAACCTAGATCGCTGTCACACTGCTGTGAGGCGAATGGCGTCCAGCAGCAGCCCTGCATCGTCCATTGGCACACACTCCTCTAGATACTGCGAGGGACAGAGGAAAAGGCGGAAAAAGGGGATTTGGAAGTAAGGAAGAAATAACAGGAGAATGAAAGGAGGAATTGTGGTTGCAATGAGCACAGGTAAATGACAGGTTCTGGGAAGGCCACCACATGTGTACCTGTGTGTGCGGCCACAAGTCGTCAGGTGAAACCACGACTCGGCAATCCACAGCTAATGACACATCTCCCCAATCGTCACCACCACCAGCGCCACCCGCAGCAGCACGAGCAGCAGCATCAGCGCGAATGCCACCCGCATCCAGATTATCCTCCCGTTTCATTGCCCCAGTCAACTCATCACCAGCGCTGCGAGCAGCGGCAGAAGCAGCAGGAGAAGCAGTAGAGGCAGCTGGGAACCATTGAATCTGGACGCGCACAGGGCAGCCTGGCATGAGCATACCACCGTCGTATGAAAGAGAGACAGATGTGGGGCCCACAGCTACCACCCTCACCGTCCGCCTCACCTCCCCCCACCGCCTCACCATCTCCTCCCTATCCCCCACCACTGGCACTCCCACCACCTCCCCCCCTCGCCCAATCCTCCCTTCCCTTCCTCCCCCTTCCCCTCCCGCTGCTGACTTGCGTCGGCCAATCAGGATGCGTCTGAGCTGGCGGATGAAGAGGAAAGCCTGCCACGCGCACGCCAGGTCACGCGCCATGCTGGCAATGGCGGATCGGCTCATGCTGTGACACGTCAGCAGGAGTCCCTCAGGAGTGCATCGCATGTCTGGCGCAGCGCCCCTGGCTCTGATGCTAGACTCATTGGTTCTGGTAGTACTGGCAGCAGTGGAAGCAGAGGCAGAGGCAGAGGCAGTAGTAAAGGCAGGACTGGTAGTGGTGGTGGCGCTGCTATCACCTGTGCTCTCATCACTGTACGCAACTCCTTCCCGGGCCCACACACACGTGCCAAGGAGGCGTTTCATAAGGTGCTCACCCCCTCCGACCCTGCTTGCTCTCGTTCTCCCGAACCTCGTGACACCAGGTTTGGTAGCATCAGGTTCGGCAGCATCACCCGCCAGTTCGGGTGCATGCACAGGTTCGGCAAGTCTAAGGAATCTTCCTCCTTGCTCTATTTCCAACTCCTGTTCCTGCTGCTGCTGCTGCCGCAGCTGACAAAACTCCTGAAGCTGCCACAAGCTGACAAAATGCTGAGCTGGCACCAGCACGGACCAGCTGGCAGTGGCCGGCGAATCGGATCTCAGCAGCAGGGACTGCCAGGGGGAGGCGGTATCTGGGGGCAGTGCAGCTGATGCTGCAGGAGGGGGAAAGCCCGGTATCCGCAGCAGGGTTTGAGGGGAGACGAGGGAGGAGGGACGGACAGTGGATGGTGGATAAGAGGAATCCGAGGGAGAAGCAGAAAAGGAGGAGAGGGAGGAGGAAATGAGGGGCGGCAGACAGGGGAAGTGAGAGGGGGACGAGGTGGAGAGTGAGGAGTAGGAGGAGGAGGAGGAGGAGGGGGAGGAGGAGGCAGCAGAGAGGAAGGGAACGGTGGAGACACCAGCAGAGGAGAGGAGGGAGGAGAGGAGGGAGTGTTTGACGGCAGCAGCAGCGAGGTGCTGGGCTCGGGACAGCACGAGGGGGAAGATGAGGGACACAGGGGCCTTGCCGCGCCCTGCCAGCTGTACCAGCTCCTGCAGCGGCCGGCCAATCAGAGCGCAGTGCAGGGGTTGGGATGGGTGGTGAATGGTGTGGTGGCGTTTGCGCTTCTTGATGGGTGCGGTGTCTTTATCAACACCACCGCTTTCAACCGCTGCAGCGGCAGTGACGGTCCCAGCCCCACGATTCGCACCCTGCTTGCGATCAACGGCTGCTGCTTGCTCTGCACCTTCTGCCTCGTCATCTCGCCCCGCTCTGTCCATCTCCCCATCGTTGCCCACCTCTCCGTGCCTGCCATCCCTCTCATCATTCCCCTGACTATCCCCCTCACTATCACTCTCCCAGTCATCTGCCACATCTAGAAGCTCCTCCCAACCTCCCACCATCTCCTTCCCCCCTCCTTCCACATTTCCCCCACTCCTCCCCCCATTCCCCCGATCTAAACCCTCCCTCTCCCCAGAGCCAGCCAGGGCCACCACCTCGGGATCTCCAGCCGCCAACACCAGCGCGCACACCTCCAGAGCCAACCAGCGCGTGACACCTGGCGGCGCGAGCGACGCTACAAGTGACTGCCCAGCTGCTGCTGCAGCAGAGGTACCGGGAGCACCAGCAGCAGCAGTAGCGCCTACACCAGTTGCACCAGCACCAGCACCAGCACTAGCTCCAGTGGCAGCGGTACTGGTCCCAGCAGCAGCAGGGTGTGGCACTAGAGGGGGCAGTGGCGGGGGTGTGAGCTGAAGCAGACGGAAGGAGAGGGAAAAATCCGCTTGTATGAGAATGGCGAGCAGATAGGGCGGCCATGAGGGGGGGTTGGGAGGTGGAGAGTCGGAGGGAGGAGGAGTACAGTGGGGTGGTGAGGGAGAGGATGGGGTTGGGTAGGGGAGGAAGGGAGGGTGCGAGAGGGTGAAGAGGAGTGTGCGGGGCGGTGGCGGGAGAGTGAGGGGGTGCGCTGGGTCGTCTGATGTGTATCGAATGCCTGCTGGGCCCGCCTCGTACGGCTGGTTAAAAGGGGGAGACAGGGAGGAGGGGGTGTGGCTGTGTGTGTTGAGTGGGTGTTTGAAAGTAGGGTGTGTGGGGAGGAGAGGAGAAGAGTGGTGCGAGGGGGTTGGGGAAAGAGCAAGGTTGAAGGCAGAGGTAGTAATTTGGAAAAGCGACAGAGAAGGGAACCAACACGTTCAATTCGTTATTGTTTTGCGGGCAGGCAGTGCAGCCGCAGCAGCAGCAAAACATTCCCGTGAAAAACATTCAATCCACAGCCCAACCCAGCTCACCACGAGACCCAGAGCCATGCCCGCTGTGGTGAGCTGGGCGTGCAGGCAGTGCAGCCGCAGCAGCACAAGACCAGCTAATTCCCTTGAACCCATCACAGCCCTACAGCACCCAGCCAAGCCCTGCTCACCACCAATCCCAGAGCCATGCCCGCCGCTGTGAGCTGGGCGTGCAGGCAGTGCAGCCGCAGCAGCACCAGCGCGTCGCCAGCTGTCGAGCTCCCACTGTTCAGCGCCCCCTCCACCTCCCTCGCCGCCGCCCAGGACAAGCCCTTGCCGCCCGCCCACACCTCGTACCGCCCGGTCCGCGTGTTCACGCCGATTGCAGCAAACCAGTCGCCACACGCCCGCACCCACAGCACCTCCCTCCCTCTCGACCCAGACGCTTCCCTGCCCCAATTCTCCCCACCTCTGCTGCTGCCTCTCCACCGCTCTCCACTCCCAGCTGATGCCTCCCCTCTCCCATCGTCTCCCTGCCTCTGCTTCTTGCCTCTTGGCAGGTGATCATGGGTTGAAGTTGAAGAAACACCACCACCACCATGATCACCGGCATAATCCTCAACACCACCACTGTCAGGCATGCCTGCATTGTCAAACGACAGAGCTTCTATCAGCAGCTTGCGCTTCCCCAAAACACTCCCCAGCTTCCTCAGAACGTCATTCAGCCCCCCTCCCCCTTTTTCCTTCCCCCCTTTGCCTGGCGTTTCCTTCGACAGCACTGCACTTTTTGCAGCATCTACAGAAGGATGCAGCGGAGGAGGAGGTGGAGGAGGAGGGGGGTCAGCGAAGGGAGAGTAAGCGGTGGAGAGTGATGAGGAGCGGTAGAGGGAGAAAGAGGGGGGGGGGGGGGAAGGAGAGCAGCACGTCTTGGGGCCCGGAGCAGAGCAGCGGAGCCGCCAGCAGGTCTCGCCTTAACCGCGCCAGCTTGGCATGCGCCGAGCACCGGGCGGCAAACAGCACCAGCTTCTCCACATCAATCCTGCTCGGGTCCAGATAGAGACAAACCTCGCCGCCCGTCTCGGGGTCCACCACAGGCGGCGTGTGCTGGCATATGAGCTGGGTGCGCAACGGCTGGCGGGAGAAGAGAGAGGAGGGAGGAGGACCAGGAACAACCGCAGCAGCAGCGGTGGCAGCAGCAGAAGAGCCTGGAGCAGAGGCAGGAGGGACGATGGGAGGAGGAGGAGGGGTGGTGGGGGGTGGGGCGAGGGAGAGAGTGAGGCAGGGTGGCGGCTCGTCCGCGCTTTCAAAGCTGACAATACCCAGCCGCACCAGCACAGCTGAAGACGAGCCCCCTGTGCTCTCACCCTTCCCCGGGTCCAGCCAGTACCACACGTGCAGCACCGCAGGGGATGCCTCTGGTACCGCTGGCAACCCCGCTGCACCCCCGGCCGCTTCTCCTGCCCCGGCTCCTCCTGCTCCTGCCTCTGCTGCCCCGGAACGTTCCCCCTCCTTTGGCCCCCCACTCGATGCTGCTGCTCCTGAACCACTGACCCGCGCTCCCCCCACCCCGCCCTTTCCCCCAAGTCCCCCTGCCCCTGCTACTCCCCCTGTTCCCCCTCCCCCTGCCACCCATCCTTTGCTCCCACTGGGTCCCCCAGACGTCCCCACACCCCCCGGTCCCCCTCTCCCGCCGCCCGCGTCCCGGGCGGCGACCTCGAACTTGACATGATGGCGCCAGCGGGCGGCACAGAGCGCGTGCAGCTGCAGAAGAATCTCGTCCGCTGCCACGCCGCAGCACACCTGGTGGAGCACCACGTGAAGGGCTGTGATTGGGTCCTCGGCTGCTGCTGCCATGCGTCGCTGCAGCTCATCTGCTAGCGCCATCTGCTGCACCTCGCTCATGGGAATGCCCTTGATGCACTTCACCCTGCGTGCCCCTCCGTGCTGCCTTGACGCCGTGCCTTTCCTCCCCTGTGATCGCTGTTGGCCCCGCTTCTTCCTCTCTTTTCTGCCCTCTCCCTCCCCTTCATCCTCCTCCTCTTCATCCTCCTCTTCTTCCTCTTCCTCCTCCCCATCCCCCTCTGCCGCGTTCTCCGCGCCCCGTACAAGAATCTTCACTTTAATCACCTTCCAAAGAGACAGGTTGGACATATACCCAGCAGTGATGTCCGCCTGATACTCGCCCTCCACATACACGCGCACCTTCCCGCCTCCAACCCGCACCCGCGTCACCTCCGCGGGAATAGGTGTTTCCAGCAGCCGCGTTCGCAGGAAGGAGTTAATCTGCTCTATGGCGGCTCGCCTGCCGCTACGCCTGGCGGCTCTCAGCCTCGCGCGCTTCGCCTTGGCCGTCTCGGGCATAACTGGGATAGAGTCAGCTGGTGCTGTGGCGTCGGGTGTGGCAGCAGTCACGGCAGCAGCAGCAGCAGCAGCAGCAGCAGCAGCAGCGGCAGCGTTAGAGCCAGCAGCAGAATCAGCAGGAATGGTGGTTCCCTTCACGCCCTTATACTCCACTTCTCCCTCCTCTTCCTCTTTCCCTTTCCCCTTCCCCTCCCTCTCACCCTCCTCTTCCTCCTCTTCCTCCTCGTCCTCCTCCCCTCCCAGCAATCTCATAGCTTCAGCAGCTGCCGTCGCTGCTGCAGCAACCCCTGCAGGCGGTACCAACCCTGCCACCGAAGCTGGCCCGAGCCTCTGCAGCATCAGGTTCGGCGGGAGCTGCAGATCGTCTACGCAAGCGGGTAGCCGGCGGTAAGCGTGCGTGGAGAGGATTTCGACGGCGGTGGGAACGTCGTAGAGCGGCGCGCGCGCACCTTGGATCTGCGCGTGAGTCATCCATAATCCGTCCGCAGCTTGCACAAACGCTGCGTCGTGATTGGCCAGCGCGGTCCACGCTTGCTTGCACCGCTCGATCACGGGCAGCTGGTTACACCATTTCGTTACAACGAGAAGCCGCAGCAGCTTCTGTCGCGTATGCCAAAGGAATTTCAGCAGAGCGACTTTCCGCTGCTTCTCGTCGTCGGGACCTCGCCCGCTCGCCTCCGCCGTCGCACGCGACGCAGCGAGCGACTCGCTCAGCTGTCGCAGCTCTCGCATGGTCTGCTGAACCGTCGCAGTGGTCAGCAGGCTCAGCGGGACTGTCTCTTCCGTCGTCGGCGGAAGCATCGTTGGTGGGGCACCTGGCGGAGCAGCCATGGCAGGCGGAGGCGGAGGAGCAGGCGGCGGAGCTTCCCCGACGCCCGCCATTTCCGCTAGTCGTCAGTCCCGGAAGAACTACAGAGAACTACTTCAGAAAAGATTCTATACCATTACTCGAGTGAAGACGAATACGTCCGAATATTGGCCGCTCGATTCCCGACTACAATCGGGATCATCTCGATCCCGAACTCCGTTTGCGAAAACACGGGAACTAATTTCTAGGTTTCACGCACATGTGACAGACAAGCAACCAATATCTGGGAAATTATACGCGCAGTCACAATTTAGGCCGTATTATCTCGTTTGGTCACGGGGTTATCACGGACAGTCACAGTACAGTACTTCGCTATCACGTGTGATCACAGCGCTATCACGCGTGGTCACACCTCGCCCCGCAGGGTTATCACGTTTGGTCACTCGTTGAAACGCCCGCCAAAAAGTCGAAACTCTCAAATCTACTGTACAGATTCGGGTACTATTATCTCGCGCGCGTTTTGTCTGTAGTGAAAAACGTGATGTGACTGTCGAAATATACTCGGACCTTGTTAGGGACCGATGCAGTTTAATGCACAGTCCGCATGTTGCAGTGAATATAAGCGATCAATAACAGTTTCGATTATACATTTAGTTTAGGGTGTGCATTTCATCCATAAAACAAAGACATGGGTTTAGGTCGAATGATTTAAATAGTGAGAACATTGAAATCATTCGAAAACCATACAACAATCTGTGGCATATGATTCTTGAGAGGGGACTACAAATTTGAGTCCCCACTCAAGAATCATATGCCACAGATTGTTGTATGGTTTTCGAATGATTTCAATGTTCTCAATTTTTAAATCATTCGACCTAAACCCATGTCTTTGTTTTATGGATGAAATGCACACCCTAAACTAAATGTATAATCGAAACTGTTATTGATCGCTTATATTCACTGCAACATGCGGACTGTGCATTAAACTGCATCGGTCCCTAACAAGGTCCGAGTATATTTCGACAGTCACATCACGTTTTTCACTACAGACAAAACGCGCGCGAGATAATAGTACCCGAATCTGTACAGTAGATTTGAGAGTTTCGACTTTTTGGCGGGCGTTTCAACGAGTGACCAAACGTGATAACCCTACGGGGCGAGGTGTGACCACGCGTGATAGCGCTGTGATCACACGTGATAGCGAAGTACTGTACTGTGACTGTCCGTGATAACCCCGTGACCAAACGTGATAATACAGCCTAAATTGTGACTGCGCGTATAATTTCCCCCAATATCTAGGGTGGGTCTGTGATCCTGTAGTGCGAGCAGGCCTGTCGAAGTCCCTGGGACCAACACTTTGAGTTATGAGCTGTTCGAAGCTTGGCCCTGATTTTCGCGAAGGTGACCGTTTTTTAGCCCTTAACGATCACGGGCGCAGGTCAAATTCAAAACTTGACATCCGGGCTTCCTACAAAAATGTACGTGAGCCGTAATGGCACAAAACTTGACATCCGGGCTTCAACCTATTACTTAGCAGCGGGAAGGAGTATGCTAACGACGACATCTGCATACCTACAGTGAGGGGGGAAGTGGGGTGGGGGGGGGGGGAGGAGAGGGGTCGTAGGGCAAAACATCGTCAGCAAAGAAGTCGCTTCAACTCGTGTGTACAATCGCAAAGCACTTCCGAGGTGGTCGTTTTCCATGTAGTACTACTAGTGTGAACTGATGGGGCAATTTCCTCTTGGCCTCGTAGGGTGTCAGTGTCGCGAGTGCAGTGTGAGTACTTGGAACTGTGAGGAGACGAATTGACCTGAAAATATTTTGCAACTACAGCCATAACATCAACACAGGAAAGTCCTTTCGTGCCTAAGTAGATAGCTTGTGGGAGATACAGGGAGGATGAGAGTGGGAGGAGAAGAGTGGCAACTTGGGCAACTCGCAGGGCTACTCTACTCCTGATCCGGGAAATCAGGGAAAGGCCCCGAACCAGCCATTAACGGATCCGGGTTAGGACCCCCTATTTCTCAAAACCAGCCCGTAAGAAAAACGGGCTTCCCTCGAAACCAGCCCTTTGAAATGCGGAAGCTGGCTGTGAGCTCGCCCGGAATGTTCAGGGCATTAAGGGCAAATGCCCTTGAATCGACAAACCTGAGTGCGAGGCTCTGTAGCGGGCGAGACCAATGAGGGAGCTGAGTGAATTTTAACCAGAACATTTGTTTGTACCGTATATCTGTTACGAGTGCAATTGAGTGAACGAACTAGAATTGCACTATCGAAGCAAGAGTACAATGAGCGAAGGCATGAGCGAATAATATATAGCGAAACTACAGTGGTAACGGTAATGGCCGCGCGACGGGCCTGGGATTGAGGTTGGGAAAGTGTCGAAGCGTAGGCCCGGAGCGCGGGTTACCAGCCGAGCCGTGAGGTCGGGATGCGATGTGCGAAAATGGCGGGATGATGAATGATGCGATGGTCGCGAGTGGTAACGGTGCTGACTGAGGTGCTACAGTGATGTACGCGTTGAGCAGGGATGCGAAGTAAGGAAAAGGGAATTTCCTTACACAACCCCCCCTCCAAAGGAGGTCCTCCTTACGAAAGCGCGTGGACGTCTTCGAAGTTTCGGCTGCGCAGATAGTCGGTGACGACAGGGTGGTTTTCAATTCTGTCCAGGGGAACCCAGTTGTCCTCGGTGGGTGTACGATCTTTCCAGCGGATCAGAAACTCAACTTTTCGGGCTCCTCGAGGGTCGCGAACTCTGTGGCTCAAGATTTTGTCGGGGGTGATGACTCGTTCGGTTGGTGGTCGTGACATGCTGGATGGTCGATGTCGTGGGAGTTGGCTAGTGGATGGTACGTAAGGGCGAAGCAGGCTGACGTGGAACGAGGGGCTGACGTACTAGTCAGCAGGAAGGAGGAGGTGCGCGGTGACAGGTGTGATCATGTGACTGATTCGAAATGGCCCACAGTATCGAGGGCGGAGTTTGGGAGTGATGGGCAGGCGGAGGTTCTGAGTGTCGAGTAAAACGAGGTCGTCGGGCTAATAAGTGACGGGTCTGCGGTGGCGATCGGCGTTGCGTTTAGCGATGATATTTGATTTTTTAATTGCTTCTGCTGCCCTGGTCCGTGCTGCTTGCAAAATCTCGGCGAACTGTTGTGCGCGTGGAACGGGAATGTCGGGGTTTGGTGTCATGGGTACTGTTGGGTTTTGTCCGTAATTCAAGTAGAATGGCGACTATTGGGTCGTGGCAGATGGCGCGTTGTTGTATGCGAACTCGATGAGAGGCAGCTGCTGCTCCCACGTGTTTGGATCGTCACACGTGGCTCGAATGAGCTGCTCCATAGTCTGGTTTGTCCGTTCTGTCTGTCCGTCGGTTTCGGGGTGATACGATGAACTGAATTGAAGTCGCGTGCCGAACTGTTGCCACAGGTTCCGCCAGAAATTACTGGTAAACTTCGTGTCACTGTCGCTGATGATCGACGCTGGTATCCCGTGCAGTCGAACGACGGTGGCGATGAAGAGTCGGACTGTTTCCTCGGCTGTGATTGATTTCCTGCATGCTGTGAAATGTGCCATTTTCGTTAGTCGATCGACGACGACCAGGATCGCGTCATTCCCACTCGCCCCGGCCGGTAACCCCGTGACGAAGTCCATCGTCACCTGCTGCCAAGCACGCTCTGGAGGTGGGATTGGTTGTAATTGTCCCGCCGACCGCTTCCTGGTTGACTTCATGAGTTGGCAAGTGGGACACGATGCCACGTGTCGTTGCACGTCGGTCAACATTTCCGGCCAGTAATAGTACCGCTGCAGCTGCTGCCGTGTTTTTTCTACTCCGAAATGTCCCGAGGTAACTTCATCGTGTGCGTCCTGTAACAATAGTTCCCGTAGTAGCGTGTACCCTGGTACCCAGATGCGGTAGGATCCAGCTTTTACGTAGTAGACTCCCTTGGATGCTGCGAATTGCTGTGAATTTCCTCCTGTGAAGAATGGGTCTGTTTGATATCCGTGGGTAAATAGTCCTGTCAGTAACGGGCTGGTCTGGACGAGTAGTATCGCATGGATTTTGGCAGTGGGGCGGGTCAGTGCGTCGGCGATATTCGAGGCTCCTTTTTTATATGTGACCGTATAGTGGAAATTCGACTCAAGGAAGTCGAGCCACCGAATCTGTCGTGGGTTGAGGTGGGGCTGTGCGCGAAGGTAATGTAGGGATCGATGGTCTGTCCGTACTGTCACGTCTGCGCCGGTCAAGTAGCAGCGCCACACTTTGAATGCATGCACGATTGCGAGCATTTCGCGGTCGTGTATCGGGTAATTTCGCTCAGGCGGATGTAGCTTGCGTGATTCGTAGGCGATGGGTTGGAGGCCGTTGCCGAAGTCCTGTAACAGTACGGCTCCGATGGCGATGTCACTCGCGTCTGTAACAACTTCGAAGGGGCGGTGTGGGTCAGCGATGCGTAGGACGAGTGGTGAACAGAGAACATTTTTCAGGGCAGAGAAGGCAGCATGCTCTTTCTCCCCCCACGTAAAAGGGACCCCCTTACGCAGTAAATTAGTGAGCGGGGCTGTTAAGCGTGCCATGTCAGGGACGAACCGACGAACGTAATTAACAAACCCTAAAAAACTCTGCAGTTCCGTGATGTTCGTCGGGGGATGCCACGCTGTTACGGTATCCAGCTTCTTAGGGTCTATCTCAACCCCAGCCTCCGAAATGACGTGACCTAAAAACTCTAGCCTGTCTCGAAAAAACTCGCACTTGGAGCCCTTGGTGAGTAACCGATGTGCCTCTAAAATTTTAAAAACTGCTTCGAGATCTACTAAGTGCTGCTGCTGGTCCCGACTGTAAACGAGGATGTCGTCGAGGTAAACTATGACACATTTATCTAAGAGTGGCCTAAACGCCTCGTTCATGGTCATCTGAAATGTTGCAGGCGCGTTGGTCAGCCCGAAAGGCATCACCGTGTACTCGAATAACCCGTACCTAGTCCTAAATGCCGTCTTGGCGCAGTCCGATGGTTCGACCCGAATTTGATGGTAACCTCCCCATAAGTCTATTTTCGAAAATACTCGTGCGGTTCGCAGCTGGTCGATCAGTTCGTCGGCGCGGGGGATGGGGTATCGTGATTTGACTGTTACCCTGTTAAGCGCTCGGTAGTCGATGCACATGCGAAACCCTCCGTCTTTTTTCGGTGTGAACAGTATCGGTGCGGCGAACGGTGACGAGCTCGGTCGGATAAACTGCTTCTCTAACAGGTAATCTAACTGCTTCCTTAGCTCGTCGAGCTCGGGCTTTGTCAGTCGAAATTGGCGCTGTACAGTTGGCTGTGCCTCCGGTTCTAACTCGATCCTATGGTCATGCGCCCGCTGAGGTGGCAGCCCTTGCGGTAAGTAATCCGGAAAGATACCCGGGAACCGTTTCAGTAGTGCCTCTAGTTCGGGTGGTACGGCTGCCAACAGTTTCTGCAAATCACTCGGCTGCTCCTCTTTTTCCACTAATGCGATATCCACTGCGTATACGTCAGCTCCAGCAGCGACAGCCCGTTTCATCGTGATGGCGTTGACCTGGACCGTCGAAGACTCGGGTGGCTGCCAGCGAGGTAGGACGACCCAGTTACCACTACTTCGCACTGTGCAGCTACCCGTCGTCCCTCAATTCGTGGGTAATACCTTTGCAGCCAATCACGTCCCAATAAAATGTCGTGCCCATCCAGTGTCGTTGCGAGCATTTCCTGTGTAAACCCGAAGTTCCCTCCTCAGCGGACTTTTACTCTCTCCACCTTTTCCCGTATAGCCAGTGGCGTGCCGTCGACTAAGCGTGCATCTATCTCAGGTAAGCATCGGTTAAGTGTTAACTGTAATTTCCATGCGGTTGCGGTATTAACTAAGCTGTGACTTGCTCCTCCGTCAATAAAAATCTTCACTGCTGCTCCCTGTATTTTCCCGTAGATTAGTACCGGGCAATCCGTCGCTGTACCCTCCTTATTCATCCGAGCACGATCGATGGCATGAATCGGTACTGTGACTCGGTGAGGGTCAGTGTGGTTGGGCGAGCAGGCAGTCTCGTCAGTAGTTGGCCCAACTTCTACTGACTGCTGGCGTTTCCCTGCCTCTGAGACTCCCTCCCCTGCTCTGCTCCTCGGCGCCTCAGCTTCTCTGGGCATTCGCTCTTGCGATGGCCCGGCCTGTTGCAAGCAAAGCAGCGCCCCTTAAACGGTGCGGCAGCTGCATTCGTTGCGACGGCGTGTACAGTGGCGTGCTCGGTCGGTCCCCGAGGACGATGTCCGTAATAGGACCCCGGTCTCGGTCGGCGTAGAATGTCGATCTTCTCCGCGAGCGCGAGAATCTCGTTGAAATTAGAGAGTCCGCGCAGCATTATCTCGTGCGAGATGTCCGGCTTCAGCCCTCCGACGTAACGGTCCACCCGCTCCGCTTCGTGCATCTAGCCGACCTGCTCGCAAAGTGCGAGAAAACCGCTGGTATAGTCTTGAACTGACTCGAGCTGGCGCCAAGTGCGCAGTTTCTGACGCGCCGAAATTGAAGCCGCGATCGGCTCAAAGCGCGCCCGAAGCCCTGCGCAACACGCATCCCACGTGCTGTATTGGGCGGTCTCGCAGAACGAACTCCAGGTGACAGCTGGACCCGAGGGCCCTTCCCCGTGCGACGGTGGCTCGTAGGCGCGTGGCGACGTCACGATGACTCGCCACCAGTCCATGGCGGGGCCCCTTAGCAGTGAAACCGCATACCGGATCTTTGCGGCGTCCGACTCGACGTAATTGGCGTCGAAGAAAACGTTCATCGTGAAGACCCACGATTGAACTGTCGGACCGCCGCGTTGACTTGGGTCGAAGGAGGGCGGGCGTTGCGGCTTGAGCGGCATTGGTGCCATGTTGGATTGTTCGCCACTTGTCGCCGCAAATTCCACGTGCCGACGGACTTCTCGAGGCTCCCGTGGGCTTGGTGCGATCCTGTTTCCTCCCATGCCAGGCATCGGCTGGGCGGCGCCCTCACTGGCTGCGCCTGAGCGTTGTCCCGTGCTGTCGTGTTGTGTTGGTGTGCCGGACGAGATGATGATCGGCTCATCCGAATGTGCAGATGCGTTTGTTGGTGCGTGGGATGTCGTCGGTATGTTCACCGTGGATTGTTGACGGGCGGAGTCACGTTCCGCCGTGAGGGTCGCGATTTCAAGCGCCGAATCCTCCAGTTGACGCACGAGACGATCAAGTTGCTCCTGCGTCAATGTGGCGAGCGTGAAGTCGGCCATGGCGGGGGTGTCGGGCAAGCTCAGCGAGAGCCTCGGTCGTGGCCATGCGTGCTTGCGAGAGAGCACTACGAGCGGCGGTGCTGTATCGCTGAGAGACGTCTACCCCCCCCCAAAAATTGAGATAGTGGGGAAGCGAAGGTGTGGATGCGGTCCGAGATGGGATCGTAGGCTCTGAATACCAAGTGTTACGAGTGCAATTGAGTGAACGAACGAGAATTGCACTATCGAAGCAAGAGTACAATGAGCGAAGGCATGAGCGAAGAATATATAGCGAAACTACAGTGGTAACGGTAATGGTCGCGCGACGGGCCTGGGACTGAGGTTGGGAAAGTGTCGAAGCGTAGGCCCGGAGCGCGGGTTACCAGCCGAGCCGTGAGGTCGGGATGCGATGTGCGAAAATGGCGGGATGATGAATTATGCGATGGTCGCGAGTGGTAACGGTGCTGACTGAGGTGCTACAGTGATGTACGCGTTGAGCAGGGATGCGAAGTAAGGAAAAGGGTATTTCCTTACAATATCTCATTTATCCACTATAAAAGGAGGACATATATTTTTGATGCAATTTAGTTCACACAGATGGTGATTTTTAGTGCTTTGAAAGTACCTGTGAACGCATGGACTAGGCTGACATTTAAGCTTCATCGTGGAACACCCGAGGCCGTGACATCTCCTCTTTCTCGCTGAGCTCCTCATACTGATACCAGTCGTTGGCAAACCACCCAACAGGCATGGGAGGCCTTACAAACACCTCAATGCCCTTGGGCACATGCACCACTACCTCCACATCGCTTTCTTGCTTTCCGAACAAACCGCTGCTCCCATGACCATCTTCGTCATTGTAACCCATGCCCAGCGTTTGATTACCAGGGCCTTCGAAGCGAGTGATACCGCCGCGAGCGTCGTTCGCAGCATCGGGATCATCCCAACTGCCAGTAGGCTCCACGTGTCCAGCATGTGAACTGGTGGTGGCGTCACTTGATGACACGTCAGCATCGGGGTTGGTGCGCTGACGTGGCTTTACGCCAGACAAGGAGACCCACCCGAGGCCGGAGATTGCGATGTCAGCTACCGGGCTGGTGGGTTGGGGCAGGAGGGACAGACCACAGGCCGATTTGAGGCAAAACCACAGGAAGAATGTATGCCAATAAATGATGGTGCATGGTGTATGGCAAATGGCATGGGACAATAATCACTTGTGGAAGCCCGGCTGGAAACCATTGTCGAAGGACAACTATACATGCAAAACGCACCTGGAGCGCTTGGCAGGCAGGCGGAAGGAGAAGGCCCGCTGCGACGGCAGCCCCTCCCAAGCTGGCTCCTCCAATGGCTTGGATGGCGGCACTAGCAGTCGACCCACCTCAGCCTGCCACGTCAGCCAGACATGTGAGGCACAGAGGACGTGCGGAAGGCGAGGGTATGAGAGAGCAGAGGATGCGAGGGAGGGTGAGATGGAACTGGTGTGGGGATTCCACACATATAGGGTGCGGGGAGAGGGATGAGGAGGTGTGCAGTGCAGTAAGAAGGTGCACGAAGAGGCATGTATTGGCAGGAAGGAGGTAGGAAAGGAAACCAAACCTCATAGAAGGCATTGGCGGCAGGGGTGGGCACGGTGGATACGCGGATGGCCACGGGGCCAAAGAAGGTGAGAGCTGTGCCAGCTGGCGCCTTCACCACATCGATCCGAACGAGGCCGCCCCAGAAGAGAGAGGTGCCTTGAAGCCCCTTCTGCTCTCCACTGGTGCCCTCCTCTGCACGCGCTTCTCCTCCTGCCTCCTCCACACTCTCTTTCTGCTCTCCTTTCTCTCCTTTCTCCCCCCTCTCCGCTTTCTCCGCTTTCTCTTCTGTTTTTTCCCTTCCCTTGCCTGCGCCTGTGTGCTGCTCCAGAGGCCCAGTGACAACAAACGATCTCAGCCGTCGCTTCGGGCCGAGGTGGTGCAGATCCCACGGATGCAGCATGGCGGCCATGCGATGGTGCAGATGCACCCCGGGCGTGTCGTACAGATCCTGGGGGAAACGCAGGGGGAGTGGATGTATCAGACAAAGACTGGAAAAAAAGATAGAACACAAGAGGAGCAGACGCATCTCCCCTCCACTACACATGGTGCACATGCGCCCCGGGTGCTGTACACATCAACCAGAATGGGAAACGTGGGAGGGAATGGGGTTGGTATAGCACCAACCAGAGAAGGCCACGTGCTGTACAGTGCTTAACTCACCCCTCCACCGGAGAAAGCCTTGAGGCAGATGGGTCCCAGGGTGGTGCCTGGCATGGCAGAGGCCACGGGGCGACGACGCCGCGCTGCTGCTGCCATGATGTCCCGACTCGCCATCTCGTCTATGGGATGGGGTTGATATGAGAAGGAAAGGGGGTGCAGGGTGGACGGTAGAGGTGCATGTGCATGGGAACGTGAGGAGCTGCAGCGTGTGCGCCGTTGCTGCCCTTTTTACTCTTATTGGCCCCTTGCTCAGTTAGCATGGCTCTGATGGCCGTTCTGCAGAGTCCTTTGTATTGTTTACTCAAGATTTCGTGAATAATATCAGCTGGTTTGGGTGGTTCAGTAACTCAAAAGCGAATCGAATATGTACTCGAATAACCGGTTATTTGAACCGAATACTCGAATACTCGAACGACAAATACTTTCGAATAGTAAGGGGTATTTGTATTTGATTTATATTTGATATTTGTCGAATATCGAATACTAATATGAAAACAGTGGTATTTGTTTACACCCATATGCATATGCATGAGAACAGGAAAGGAAAAGAAGCTGCTGGTGATATGATGCATCCGAGATGCTCTCATGAAACGTCTAAAGTGCATCTGCAGTTGTGCGTCTGTGATGCTCAGGTTCAGTTTCTCATGCGCTGCTGTTGTGATGCCTGTGATGATGGCGGTGCGAGGCAAAACACGATCAAGAAATTTGTAACCAGCAGAGCTTGAGACACCTCAAACCAGACCGCATACCTAGCAACGCGCAGATGAAAGCAGACTTGCCCACATTGGCTGCTCCCTGCCCAGATGCCAGGGGTGGCAGTGATGGCAGCATTGGAACAGAGACAGGGGAGGAGGAGGGACAGGGAGAAGGTTGAAGAGTGTGAGGAACGTTAGAGAAGAGATGAGGGGAGAGGGGAGAGAGAGAAGAGGTGAGAAAAGAGAAAAAGAGTAATGCAGAGGGAAGCGCCATAGAAGATACATTTGAAGACAGGTTAGTGATTAAAATGTGAAGAGGAGTTGAGGGGCCATGTGGGAAAAGGTGAGAGGCAGGCAGTGACACAGTGGGGACATAAGAGCACAGTGGGGACATAAGAGCACAGTGGGGACATAAGAGCACAGTGGGGACATAAGAGCACAGTGGGGACATAAGAGCACAGTGGGGACATAAGAGCACAGTGGGGACATAAGAGCACAGTGGGGACATAAGAGCACAGTGGGGACATAAGAGCACAGTGGGGACATAAGAGCACAGTGGGGACATAAGAGCACAGTGGGGACATAAGAGCACAGTGGGGACATAAGAGCACAGTGGGGACATAAGAGCACAGTGGGGACATAAGAGCACAGTGGGGACATAAGAGCACAGTGGGGACATAAGAGCACAGTGGGGACATAAGAGCACAGTGGGGACATAAGAGCACAGTGGGGACATAAGAGCACAGTGGGGACATAAGAGCACAGTGGGGACATAAGAGCACAGACGGGAATGATGATGAGTGAGTTTTCATGCATGATAAGTGAGAACACTGAGAGTGCAGCTCGTACATGGGAGAGTGAGTCTCATGCATGCAACGGGAGATAGCATGCATGCGCAAGGGACTCTTCTGCCGATGTGGTTGGCAGTGGTTTTTGGTTGGGCTTACCAGGACATAGACGTCTCGTCCCTGCACACAGCAAGCATGAGGAGGGGGAGGAGGAGGAGGAGGAGGAGGAGGAGGAGGAGGAGGAGGAGGAGGAGGAGGAGGAGGAGGAGGAGGAGGAGGAGGAGGAGGAGGAGGAGGAGGAGGAGGAGGAGGAGAAGGAGGAGGAGGAGGAGGAGGAGAAGGAGGAGGAGGAGGAGGAGGAGGAGGAGGAGGAGGAGGAGGAGGAGGAGGAGGAGGAGGAGGAGGAGGAGGAGGAGGAGGAGGAGGAGGAGGAGGAGAAGGAGGAGGAGGAGGAGGAGGAGGAGGAGGAGGAGGAGGAGGAGGAGGAGGAGGAGGAGGAGGAGGAGGAGGAGGAGGAGAAGGAGGAGGAGGAGGAGGAGGAGGAGGAGGAGGAGGAGGAGGAGGAGGAGGAGGAGGAGGAGGAGGAGGAGGAGGAGGAGGAGGAGAAGGTAGGTAGGGAGGGGGTTGATGGTGTGAGGGGAAACGGAAAGAAGGAAGCATGAGCTTGATGCAACAGAAATTGGGATGAGAGGAGGAATGGACATGCTGAGTGACACAAATGGCAAGCGATTGAGTTGATATGATGAGTAGGGAGAGGGCCGTTGGGGAGGGAGGCAGTGGAGAGGGGAGCGAGCGGAGGACGACGGTGGAAGGCAAATACGCGGAGAGCACACCTGGCGTTCTGTTTCGTGTGTGTAAAATAGGAAAGGTTGCTGCGAGACATGTCAAACGAGAACGCAGTGCACCTGGCGGCGTGCAGTGCAGTGCACCTGTGGGGAAGCAGAGCAGAGGCGCACCTGGCGTTCACGTTGAATGGTTGCAGCCACTGAGGACAGCCCCGTGCGCGCCTTGGCACTCACAAAGTGCACCGCCAGCACACTGGGGGAACGCAGGGGCATGCGGGTGTGGATCGGGCAAAGCGGCAAGAAGCAGTGATTCTCAACGATTTCCGCACTACTTCATTCACCCCGTAACCCGCCTTTTCAAGTCGCCTTACCAATACCGAGTTCAAGCCCCCCCCTTCCTGCCTGCACAAGCCGGTGCAACTCTCTCATTATTCAAACAGCCGCCGCAAGCACCCAATTTGCCAGCAAGTCCGAAGTTAACAGCCAAGCCTTGATCGCAACCCTGAACCAACGCCTTAAATCTCTCACGCATCGGCCCGGGAAATAAGAACTCACTTGAGTTTCTTCTTCGCAACAGCTGCCAGCACCCAGTCCGCCACCGGGTCCATGTGCGTGCCCTCTGGTACCAGATCCACCTGCATTGTGGAAGGGGAGCAGGGGGGGGGGGGGAGGGAAGGAATTAGCAAGCATGGGGAGGGGTAAGCTCAGGGGCAGGGGGTTAAGGGGCAAGGGCGCATGGAGGCTGCCAGCACTCAGTCCGCCACCGGGTCCATGTGCGTGCCCTCTGGTACCAGATCCACTTGCATTGTGGAAGGGGGAGAGGGGGATTGGGGGTGTTAAAGAATTCAGAGTTCAGAATTAGGGCAGGGATTAGGCTTAGGTCCACATCTGCGAGCGACGAAGCAGGGGGAAGGAGGCGACAGGGAGCAGTGAGGGGCAAGGGGTAGGGGGCAACGGGCAGATGTGTGCATGCCCCTCCATCCTCCACCCTTGAGAATTCTCTTAAGTCCTCTTCCCTCACCTTGGTGATAACCAGAACAATAGGGTTCGGTCCCACGATGTCGCGAATCCTTGAGAGGAAGCTTCCGCTGAAGTCAACGAGGTCAACGAGCTTCACCACCAGCGCCTTCTCCCCGCGCACGTACGTCAGCTGCTGCCGCAGCGCCTCCGCTGTCACAAACATGTCCGCCGGGCCGGTTACGCGGTAACCGCCGTGGCCCGTGACGGCTGCTACCATGCGGCCGTGGGAGAGCTGCTGGCAGCGCGTGCAGACCAGTGATCGCAGCTGCTTGTGGCGCTTTTTCTGGGATAAGGGAGACGGGGGAAGGGAGAAGGGAGAAGGGAGAAGGGAGAAGGGAGAAGGGAGACGGGAGACGGGAGACGGGAGAAGGGAGAAGGGAGACGGGAGACGGGAGACGGGAGACGGGAGACGGAGCCTTGGCTTGGTTTTCTTAGGTGCTGCCGTGGCCTGTGATGGCTGCTACCATGCGGCTGTGGGAGAGCTGCTGGCAGCGCGTGCACACGAGAGAGCACAACTGCTTGTGACGTTTTTTCTGGGAGAAGGGGGAAGTAGGGGGTTGTCCGGGGAGAGGAGTTTTGGTTTGCTTAGGTGCTGCCGTGGCCCGTGACGGCTGGCTGCCACTATGCGACCGTGAGAGAGCTGCTGGCAGCGCGTGCACACGAGAGAGCGCAACTGCTTGTGACGTTTTTTTCTGGGAGAAGAAAGAAGGGGGGGATACGGGGAGAGGAGAAGGAGCTTTGGATCGCTTAGGGTGTTTTGCTGCCCAGTGACGGGGGCACCATGCGGCCGTGGGACAGCTGACTTTTGAGTCGACTCAAAAGTCAACTGACGGGGGTACTATGCGGCCGTGGGACAGCTGACTTTTGAGTCGACTCAAAAGTCAACTGACGGGGGTACCATGCGGCCATGGGACAGCTGACTTTTGAGTCGACTCAAAACTCAACTGACGGGGGTACCATGCGGCCGTGGGACAGCTGACTTTTGAGTCGACTCAAAATTCAACTGACGGGGGTACCATGCGGCCGTGGGACAGCTGACTTTTGAGTCGACTCAAAGTCAACCGACGGGGGTACCATGCGGCCGTGGGACAGCTGACTTTTGAGTCGACTCAAAGTCAACTGACGGGGGTACCATGCGGCCGTGGGAGAGCTGCTGGCAGCGCGCGCACACGAGCGACCGCAGCTGCTTGTGGCGTTTTTTCTGGCAGAAGGGAGAAGGGGGTGGGAGGTGGCAGGGGGAGGAGAAGGAGCTTTGGATCGTTTGGGTTCTGCAAAGGTGCTGTGGCCTGTGACGGCTGAGAGCTCGTGCGCGACCGTTGGAGAGTTGCTGGCAGCGCGTGCGTGCACACCAGCGACCGCAGCTGCTTGTGACGCCACGCCGCTTCTGAAAGGGCCTCCTCCACCCGTGACTGCAGCTCCGCCCCACACCCATAGCACACCACACCGGCACACCCGCCCCCACGCCCTCCCCTCAACGCCTACCTATCCTGTGCTCTGCTCTACGCCCATCCACCCACAGAAGATTCAACTCAACACAGGACTCACCATCTCGCATCGGTCAGGGGGAATGTACCCAGGGGCGTCCTCCACACGTGTTTGCAGCTCCCCCCCACACCCATAGCACACCACACCGGCGCAACCGTCCTCACGCCCTCCCCTCCCCCGGCCTTCCCTGTGCTCTGAGAGTCTTTTGAGTCGACTCAAAAGGCCTTCCCTGTGCTCTGAGAGTCTTTTGAGTCGACTCAAAAGGCCTTCCCTGTGCTCTGAGAGTCTGAGCTGGCCCGCCCGCAGCACTCAACTCAACACAGGACTCACACTCTCGTATCGGTCGGGGGGAATGTACCCCGGGGCGTCCTCCACACGCGTCTGCAGCTCCGCCCCGCACCCATAGCACACCGGCACGCCTGGCCTCACGCCCTCCCCTCAACGCCTATCCTGTGCTCTGTACTCACCATCTCGTATCGGTCAGGGGGAATGTACCCAGGAGCGTCTTCCACGCGTGTTTGCAGCTCTGCCCCGCACCCGTAGCACACCGGCACGCCTGGCCTCACGCCCTCCCCCGGTTTCCCTGGGGACGGCACCCCCCGCGGCCGCGCCAGCTTCAGCTTGGGGGCGCGCGGAGAGGTGGGGGAGGCGGAGGGGGAGGTGGAAGGGGAGGCGGAAAGGGAGGGGGAAAGGGAGGGGGAAGGGGAGGCGGAGGGGGAGGTGGAAGGGGAGGCGGAAAGGGAGGGGGAAAGGGAGGGGGAAGGGGAGGGGAAAGTGGAGAGGGGAGGAGAAGGGGAACGGGAAGGGGAAGGGGCGGAAGGCAGGGCAGGGGAAGAAGGGGCGGCTGCTGTGAGGGGAAGGAGAGATGCGCCTGCTGCTGCCGTTGCGGCTGCGGTCGCTCCTGCTGCTGCTGCTGCTGCTGCTGCTGCTGCTGCTGCAACCCCAAACGACCTTGTCCCCCGCTCGCCCCTGTCCTCCTCCTCCCCATACTCCCCCCACTGCCGCCTGCTCACGCCCCTGCTGCCTCTGCTGCCGCCGCTGCTGCCTCTGCTCCTCGACTCCCCTTCCTCACCGTCCTCCTCTTTTCCACCCACGCGCCTGTCCCCAACCCACCCACCCCCCCGTCCTTCCCTCCCATAGCCCCTCTGCTCGCCCGCCGCCTTCCACCCCTCCTCTCGCGCCTCCCTTCTCACTCCCATCTCACTCCTCTCCTCCCTCCTCCCCTCAGGTAAACCCTCCCTCTCTCTCCTAAACCCTGAACCCGATGCAAGACGAGTCTCCTCCCTCCTCCCCTCAGGTAAACCTTCCCTCTCTCTCCTAAACCCTGAACCCTGTGCCAGACGAGTCTCCTCCCTCCCAGCACCGCTCCTTTCTCTTGCTTCCCCCGCCCCAAACCTCCCCGTCTCGCCACCGCCGTATCCTCCCCTCCCTCCCTTAAACCCCAAACCCCTCCGCTGCTGCGCAATCCCCTGCTCCTCTAAAACCCTGCGCCTCTCCGCTGCTCCCTCCGCCTCCTCCAGTTCCCCCCAGCCATCCCCCCCGCCTGCGCTTCCCCTCATCCTCCCCCTACCCGCCCCCGCGCTTTCCCCGTCTCTCCCGCTCCTTCCCCCCCGACTCCCCTGCAACCCCCCGCGGTCCCCCTGCTGCCGCCTTCCGCGAGAGCCTTCCCCCTCCCCTCCCTGCCCCGTTTTGCGCGGCCCCGCGGATCCCCTCGACCAATCAGAGTCGTTTATCCAGCTCTCATCCGGTTGGTCTCTCTTCCCGAACCGCGCGCCAGGCGGCAGCGCCACGTCGCTGGCAAAGAAATCCTCGTTATAGTCATCTTCGTAATCCTCAGAACGACGTGCGCGCGTATCGTCCCACTGGTCAGTCCTGTCGTATTCGCCGTCCCTGCCGCCCCGCGGAGCCGCCGCAGTCGCGGAAACAACTGGGGTAGGTGCAGCTGCTGCGCGTACCGCCCGGCGCGGCCGGGAATAAAGCGCCAAACGCGGCAGCGGGTTTAAATGCACGGGTGCATTGGGTCGATCGGGATGAGTGATGCGTCCGCATGGGACGGAATGGCGCAGGATCAGGTGGGACTGCCGTTGGGATCCTGACCCAGATTTTACCAAAAGTGACTGAAACGGGGCTCGACGCAGCTGCGGCGAGCCGTCAAGCGACGGGAATGCGGCCGTCGCGCTTGCAGCCGACATGGCGGCTCACCACTTTTGAGACGATTCACTCAAGTGCGTTGTGAAAGGCAGTGAAGCTCCGAAGAAAATGCAAGGGAAATGACGGATGAAGGGGATTGAGTTGCCTGCCGTCGTCCTCGTTTGTGCAAACTCTTACAATTACACCCTCGTTTGTGAAAATTTTACAATTTCTGTACACCGCATTAGTGTAGTCGGCAATGTCACAAATTCGATTGTGGCAAAGATTTCCGAGTTCCTCGACATTTTCGCCCTGCTCACCTCGCACATGAATGACATGGCCTCGTGGTGAGCGAGGCACGAGGCACGGTGAATTCTGTTCGCATTAACCATGGCGTGGGTCGGGGCTAACGCGGTTGCTCGTGGTGATGGTGGCGTTACGACCCGTGGGATATGAAGTCGTGGATTCGTTTTGGCGTTGAGACCACCATTGAGTCGCGTCCAGGTCCTTCTCTCCTCCCCTCCTCTCCTCTCCTCGCCACCGGATTTCACTCATTTGCCGCGTCACTAGGACCCCACGTGGCGGACCCATGCCGGCCTTCCTCCCGCCCCTCTTCTCCCGCCGGCCGGCACTCCAGCCGGCCGCATCTGCACCAATCGCTGCTCCGGGAACCTCCTTTCGCGTCTTCCAGCCAATCACGTTCAGCCGACGTGGCAGCGCTCCCGCAGCGCCAGCGCCCGCGGCCGGTACGCTGCCACGTGGTCCGGGGGCTGCCCACGTGGCACGAGTCGCGCTGCTGGTCGCCGTCGCTGCTGCGCTCATCGCGTGCGACGTGTGGGGGCTGCACCCGTGGCACAGGAACGTCGCACAGGTCGCACAGGCGGGTCGGGATGGGCAGGCGGAGTCGCAGCGGAGGCCTAGAGGGGCGGGAGAGGGCGGAGAAACCGGCGGAGATGGCGGTGCAAGCGACTCGGGGGGTGGTGAAGGCATTACCGGCAGTAATGGTCGTGATACTACCAGCGGTGGCAGTACCGATGGTGATAATAACTGGGGCAGCAGCGGTGCAGTGGAGTACAGAGGGGCGCCGTGGAAGGCTGACGTGGGGCGGTGGCTGCTGGTGTGTGGCGACCAGCTGTCGCCTGTGACTGTAGGCGAGGTGCGTGTATGCAGCTAGTTGGCACGCGCAGGATGGGTGGAGGTTAGAGGGGAGGATGGTGGATGTAGGGGCAGAGAGTGCGGGGAAGATGGTGGGGAAGGGGCTTGAGGGGAGAGGAAAGAGCCAACAAGTTGTTGACTCTTTTCTCTCTGCCCAAAGGGGGCTTGTCCCAAAGAGAGATTGCCAACAGCCCTCCCAACACTTGCCAGCCTCTCCCAGCCTCAATTAACCCCTCCCAATCAGGGCCTTTCCTGATCGCACCCTCTCCGTCGGGTTGGGCCGTGGTTGTGTCCCCCAGGTGCTCTTCTCGCGGGCGTGTCCCGGCAACTGCAGTGGCAACGGCGTGTGTAACCACGAGCTGGGGGAGTGCAGATGCCGACACGGATTCTCAGGTGAATCCTCAGGTGTATTGCATAGCATGCACTGATACTCAGGAGGTTATTACGTGTTGAAACTGTTCACGGGGTGAAAGAGTCCCGACTGTTCCCAGTTCATAGGGTGGCGTGGCGTCCATCTGCCTGGCTCCCTCCCACTTCATAGGGTGGCGTCCCACTGGTCCCCCTGCTCCTACCTGTCACGCCACGCCACACCCCCTTCTGCCTCTCCCAATGCATCCACTGCAGGCCCTGACTGCTCGCAGTTGCACCTGCACCAGTGCAACCTGCCCGCATCACCCGAGTGGCCCGTGGGTACCTGGGTGGCGTCCATCTGCCCGGCCCACTGCGACACCACCACCGCCCTCTGCTTCTGTGGGAATGGGACTAGGTTCCCCCACCGCCCCATCACCCACCCCTGTGGGTTCGTGTACCGGTAGGGCCTGGGTCATGGGTGCACGGGTGCACGGTTGCATGGGTGCATGGGTGCATGGGTGCATGGGTGCATGGGTGCATGGGTGCATGGGTGCATGGGTGCACGGTTGCATGGGTGCACGGGTGCACGGTTGCATGGGTGCATGGGTGCATGGGTGCATGGGTGCATGGGTGCGTGGGTGCATGGGTGCATGGGTGCACGGTTGCATGGGTGCATGGGTGCGTGGGTGCATGGGTGCATGGGTGCACGGGTGCATGGGTGCAGTGCATACGTGGCAATGAGTCTGTAGCTGCCTGGGTAACATGCATCTTCCCGGCTCACTGCCACACTGGTCATTGCAATGGCAGCTCTGGCCTGTCCGTGCTACTGCCTACCACTGCACCTGCGTTACCCTCCTCTCCTCCCCCTCTCCCCTCCCCATCTCCCCAGGAGCCACGAATTTGTCTACAGTGAGGTGGACACGGACCTTCTCTTTCACGCTCACACCAGCTACTGCAACGCCAGCTCTGTGACTGTCTGTGCCTCTCACCCACCACACCACCCCGCCCCATCCCCCCAGGAACCACGACTTTGTGTACAGCGAGGTGGACACGGGTCTGCTCTTTCAAGCCCACACCAGCTACTGCAACGCCAGCTCTGTGACTGTCTGTGCCTTTCACCCACCACCCCGCCCCCTTCCCCCAGGAACCACGACTTCGTCTATAGCGAGGTGGACACAGACTTGCTCTTCCACGCCCACACCGGCTACTGCAACGCGGATCCCCGAGTGGGCTTTCAGCGCGACTACACGGGGTGTGGCATGTGCGACGTGGACGGGTACTTGGGGCCCTTCTGTGACGTGCGCGTGGAGTCATACTGTGTCAACCAGTGCTCTCGGCACGGCACGTGCCACAGAGGATACTGTGAGGTGAGTGGGTTAGCCTTGGTGGGCTTTCATGGGGTGTGGCATGTGCGATGTGGACGGGTACTTGGGGCCCTTCTGTGACGTGCGATTTGAGTCATACTGTGTCAACCAGTGTTCTCGGCACGGCACGTGCCACAGAGGATACTGTGAGGTGAGTGGGTTAGCCTTAGTGGGCTTTCATGGGGTGTGGCATGTGCGATGTGGACAGGTACTTGGGGCCCTTCTGTGACGTGCGATTTGAGTCATACTGTGTCAACCAGTGCTCTCTGCACTGCACGGGTCGTGCCACAGAGGATACTGTGAGGTGCGTGGGTGGGTGTGTGGGTGGGTGCGTGGGCGACTCTGGTAAAGGGTGTGGTGATACTAGGGGCTTCAGTTGGGTTGGGTGATTGCATCGTAAGGACGGCGTTATTGCTCCTCCTCTCTCCTGACCCCCCCACTCTGCCCCGACTCACTTATTCACCTCCTCCTCTGTCCCATCCCATCCACTCCTCCACTCCAGTGTTCACATGCTTTCTTCTCATCTGCTGCAGTGGGCCGTCCGCTTGACCTTTGAGTCCTCAAATGTCATCTCGTCCCATCCACTCCTCACCACTCCCCCCCACTCCTCTCTCCAGTGTTCTGACGGTTTCTTTGGCATCGACTGCAGCGTGCCGTCCGCTTTCACTCCTCCTGCGCTCTTCACGCACCCATCTGAATCGCTCCAGCTGGATTCGCCGCACGCTGACGTGGCATCGACGGCTGCCGACGCGTCATTAGCTGGCAAAGACGGGGGAAGAGGCAGTGGAAGCAGCACTGGAGACCCAGATGGTGTCATTTCCATGCCTGGCGATGCTGCAGGCAGCACCTCTCCTGGTGATGTGCAGCGCCGTGTGCTGCATGGTGCAGGCGGGGAGGAGACACACCACAGACTACCGGCCCAACTTGCTGCTGCTGCTGCTGCTGAGGGTTCTTCTGCTGCTGCCGCTGCTGCTGCTGCTGGTGCTGCTGGTGCTGCTGCTGCTGGTGGTGCTGGTGGTGCTGAGGGCACCGTGCCAGGGTGGCAGAGGAGGGTGGAGAACCTGGCAGCGCAGCAGCAGGTGAAGCCATTCGTGAGGCGGCAGTGGGAGCTGCGCCGGTGGGGCAAGGCGGCGGGCAGCAGCAGCAGCAGCAGCAGCAGCAGCAGCAAGGCGGCGGGCAGCAGCAGCAGCAGCAGGCGGTGGGTGCGGTGGCAGCGGCCGCTGATCTACGTCTATGACCTGCCGGGGGAGTTCACGTTTCACCACATGGAGGCGAGGAAGATCCGTGCATACTGCACCACTCGGCTGTATGGCATGAGGAATGAGACGCTGTACAATTTCTTCCAGCTCTATGGCATGGAGGTAAGCACACGTGCGGACATTCATTTGATCCGAGCAGCACACACTAGCCAGCCCCACCTTACCACCAATGCATCATTCTGTGTGTTCGTGATGGGTGGTTTCTCTTTTCCTCCTCCTCACCCCGTTTCCCTTCCCGCCCCCACCGCACCACCAATGCATCAGCAGCAGACTATTTTCTCCCTTGCGCTCTTCAAGGGGTGGAGAAGCTATACTCTCCTCCTCATCTCGCTCTTCCCTTACCACTTCTCCTCCCCTCCCCTCCCGTCCCCTCCCACCAGTCAGGTGGCAGTCATAGAGTCGCTGCTAGCCAGCACCCACCGCACCACCAATGCATCGGCAGCGGACTATTTCTTTGTGCCCGTGATGGGTGGGTGCATCACCGCACGCGCTGACGACTCTCCTGCCACTTTGATGCAGGTGCGTGGTTGTGCTACTGTTGTGAGAGGTCTAGTGTGGCATGTACACTGGTGTTGTGTTGTGGTGTATGTGTGGGTCTCTGCGGGGTGCCGTGGAATTGCATGGGATGCCTGTGCATCACTGCCCGGACTGATGACCCTCACCCCACCTCTCCCACAGGGCAAGTCCAAGAACCGAACCGCCGGTCGTATTTTGCAGCGGACCACTACCAGCGAGCCTATCGTAGAGGCGCCTCAACTCAAACATACGCACCGCTCCCCAACCCCCCCCTCCCCCAACCCCCTCCACTCCCACAGGGCGTGTTCACGAACCGTCGGGCATACTTTGCAGCGGACCACTACCAGCGAGCCTATCTTTGAGGTCTTTCAAACCTACGCGCACCATTCCCCACCCCTCCCCATCGCAGGGCAAGTTCAAGAACCGGCGGTCGTACTTTGCAGCGGACCACTACCAGCGAGCCCTGGAGCACATCCGATCCGCCTACCCCTTCTGGAACAGAACACAAGGCCGTGACCACATCTGGGTGAGCAATGAGGGGACTCGCACAAGTGCATGAGTTGACCTGGTTTTGCAACTCACATCTGGACCCGTGAGGGGGCTGTTGTTGGTGACTCACAGCTCGTTCTGCCCACCGTTCAGTCTCACTCACCCACATGCACCCTCCCAAAGTGCTGCCTCACAGCCTCGTGAATGCTCCCCCACAACGCTCTCCCTTCCCGTCGCCGCCCCTTCTTCGCTGTCCCTCGCAGCCCACAACTCATCCAATCCTCATCTCCCTCACTCTCCGTTGGCCCCTTATCTCCCTCACTCTCCGTTGACCCCTTATCTCCCTCACTCTCCGCTGGCCCCTTATCTCCTCCATGTCCGTCACATCTCTCACCTCTCTCGCCTCTGTCACCTCCGCCAGACCTTCCCCTAGGATGTAGGGGCATGCAGCGCCCCTAGAGCGCTGATGAAGGCCACCGGCCTGAGAGCGCTGATGAAGGCCACCGGCCGAAACGCGCGTACGCTCAGGTTTGAATGACAATTTCTTACCTATTCAATCCCTACTAGCCTAAGCTCAGCCTAGAGGAGATTAGGACGAGTTACCTGTTGGATCCAGGTCGAAACTGTTTTTCTGTGCACTGGGGCAACACCATGAGCGCTCACAACCACTCCATTCCCCACCTCTCATACTCCCTCCATCACCTTTATCATCTCTTGCTGCAGACCTTCCCCTGGGACGAGGGAGCGTGCAGCGCCCCGGGGGACGTCTTCAAGGGCATTATGCTATCGCTCTGGGCCAACACCATGGCCACCCACAACCACTCCACCACCCACTTCCCTCGCTCACTGTTTCCCCCTGTATCACCTCTCTCGCCTCTATCTGTCATCCCTGTCCTGCCTGCAGACCTTCCCCTGGGACGAGGGGGCTTGCAGCGCCCCTGGGACGAGGGGGCTTGCAGCGCCCCTGGGACGAGGGGGCTTGCAGCGCCCCTCAAGACGTGTATAACGGCATCATGCTGTCGCACTGGGGCAACTTTTGAGTCGACTCAAAAGTCACCTCGTATAACGGCATCATGCTGTCGCACTGGGGCAACACCATGGCCGCCCACAACCACTCCATTACCGCCTATCTCATTCTCTAGTGCCTCCTCTGTCACCTCTCCCAGACCTTCCCTTGGGATGAAGGGGCCTGCAGAGCCCCGAGGGACGTCTTTAACGGCATCATGCTGTCGCACTGGGGCAACACCATGGCCGCCCACAACCGCTGCTTCCCATCTCCCTTCCTCTATCTGTCTTACCTGCAGACCTTCCCCTGGGACGAGGGTGCCTGCAACGCCCCTAAAGACGTGTTTAACGGCATCATGCTATCGCACTGGGGCAACACCATGGCCGCCCACAACCACTCCACCACCGCCTATCTCCTCGACAGCTGGCGCGACATCCCGCCAGCGCTGCGCGGGCGGCACCCGTGCTTCGACCCGCTAAAGGACGTGGTCATGCCGGCCTTCAAGCCGCCCAATGCGGAGCACCTCAGGGGGCGGCTGTGGCTCAAGTAGGCAAAGGGGAGGAGAGAGAGATGAGCAGAAGCGGGGGGGCATATGTGAGAGCACCTTTCAACATTCCAATCTTCCCCAGCACTCAGCACTCTCATTTTGGCCCGCGCAGCAATCACTTCCTTGTTGCTGCCCCATGCTCCCCCTTACCCCATGCATTGCCCTGCTTCCATGACCCTCCTTACCCCATCCCCCCACTGCTCCATGGCAGTCCAGTGGAGCAGCGGCAGCGGCTGTTCTTCTTTGGCGGCAACTTGGGGCTCAACTTTTCCCACGGCCGCCCCGAGGCCAAGTACTCACACATGCACACATGCACACATGCACAGGCCAAGTGCGCACACATGCACAGGCCAAGTACGCACATGCACACATGCACACATGCACGACACATGCAGTGGCCGCACTTGCCAGAGCCCAAGTTGCTACATCCCGGATTGCTTGACGACAGACTAAGAGACCCGTCCAGGGGGCAGCAAGTGGCGCTGTAATTTGCATCAGAGTCTTCTCATCACCCACCTTCTTCCCCTCCCCCTCCCCCTCCCCCTCCCCCTCCCCTCCGCCTCCCCCACTCCGCCCCAACAATCGCTTCAGGTACAGCATGGGCATCTGGCTGCGAGTGGCGCTTTACTTTGGTTTACAAACGTCCAATTACCCACCCCTTCCCCTTTCCTGTGCCTGCCTTCCCCCTTTCCCTGCCCGCCTTCTCCTTTCCTCCGTCCGCTCTCCCCCCTCCCCCTCCCACCCAGCCGCCCCCCATGCATGGCAGCTACAGCATGGGCATCCGGCAGCGAGCGGCTCTGTACTTTGCATCGCAGCCTTCTCATGACCCACTCCCTCCCACTTTCCCTTTCTCTTCCCCTCCCTTTTCCACACCCCCTCCTCCGTCCCCACCACACGCACTGCAGCTACAGCATGGGCATCCGGCAGCGGGTGGCGCTCTACTTTGCATCGCAGCCCAACCTGCATGGCCACGTGGGGTTGCTATCCCACCCCGACGTGCTTGTGCTGCCAGGGCCCGTCACTGACTATGCCCAGCAGGTGGGGAGCAGAGCACGTAGAGGGTGCAGAGGGGCATAGGGGGCAGAGGGGGCAGAGGGAGAGTGGTGCCTGACTGTGAGAAGTGGCTGGAAAGCAGAGGGACGTGTGGGGCTGCTGTCCCACACTAACGCCCTCATGCTGCCAGGGCCCGTCCGTGACTATGCCCAGCAGGTGGGGGGACTGAGAGGAGCGGGGGCAGAGTAGAAGTCATGGAAATATGTTCTCGATATTTTTTTCCAAGCGTCAAGAATCCGTCTCACCCCGACTTGCTCGTACTGCCTGGGCCTGTCCCTGACTATGCACAGCAGGTGGGGGGCGGATGGGGTAGAGGGGGCAGAAGAAGACTGAGAGCATCCTTCCCCCAGCCTTCCCTCTGTCGTCGCCATAACGTTGTTGCTCTCAGCTGCTCCTTCCATTCCCCCTTGCAACCCAAACCCCCCCACCCCCCCGCGCATCGTGCGGCTTTCACGGGCGGGCTTCTGCGGGGTGTTCCCAGGGGATGGCTTCTGTGCGCGCATGGAGGACAGTACACAGTTCCCCCTTCTCTCCTCTTGCCCAATCTCCTCACTCCCCGTCCCCACTGTGCGTGCTTCCCCAGCTCGCCTCAGCGCGCTTCTGCGGGGTGTTCCCAGGAGATGGCTTCAGTGCGCGCATGGAAGACAGTCTGCTGCACGGCTGCATCCCCTGCATCATCCAGGTGCCCCACCCTGCCCTGCCACCTGCATCTAGTTTTGAGACGTCTCAAAACTCATTGCGCGCATGGAGGACAGCCTGCTGCACGGCTGCATCCCCTGCATCATCCAGGTGCCCCGCCCTGCCCTGCCACCTGCATCTAGTTTTGAGACGTCTCAAAACTCAGTGCGCGCATGGAGGACAGCCTGCTGCACGGCTGCATCCCCTGCATCATCCAGGTGCCCCGCCCTGCCCTGCCACCTGCATCTAGTTTTGAGACGTCTCAAAACTCAGTGCGCGCATGGAGGACAGCCTGCTGCACGGCTGCATCCCCTGCATCATCCAGGTGCCTCGCCCGCCCACTCCAACTCCAACCACTAAAAACCCCTTGGTTTCTGGTGTTGTGCGAAAGTGCTTCTGAGTCGACTCAAAAGTCGCCTCGCCCTGCCCACTTCAACTCCAACCACTGAAAACCCCTTGGTTTCTGGTGTTGTGCGAAAGTGCTTCTGAGTCGACTCAAAAGTCGCCTCGCCCTGCCCACTTCAACTCCAACCACTGAAAACCCCTTGGTTTCTGGTGTTGTGCGAATGTGCTTTGCCTCTCCTTTGCTTCTCCTTGGCCCCACCACCTCCGTTTAGCTGAAGAAACATGTCTTTTCCATCTCGTTTCCCTTATGCTGCGATCCACGGGGTACTGCACTGTATGGGATCTCGCATGGCATGCGTGTGGCATTGCTATGGTATGGCACGGGTGTGGCATCCCTATGGCATGGCATGGCATGGCATGGCAGGATGGCATAGAGCTGCCGTTTGAGAATTTCCTGGACTACCCATCCTTCACAGTGCGAATTGCAGAAGCCGACATTCCCAACCTCGTCACCGTTCTCAACTCCATCTCATCCCACCAAGTGCGGGCAATGCAGCGGGCGGCGAGCCTTGTCTGGATGCGGTGGTTCTACCGGTCGGCAGTGCTGTTGGAGGCGGGGCGGCAGAGGGCACAGGGGAAGGAGGTGGGGGAGTGGGTGGCGGATTTGGAGGGCATGGAGGGGGATGATGCCGTTGACACACTTATGCAGGTAATGTTCTGGCTTATATTTTGCATTGAAATGGTTGTGGAGCTTGATATATGCTAATTGACTGTCCCTCATTTGTTAGCCTAAGATGTGGACGTACACGTGAGCTCTTTTAAAATACATATCCACTGCTATTGTGTTTTTGTGTGCAGATACTGCACGTGAAGCTGTATCTCGATGCATGGAGGCTGCAGCACAAACACAACCACACAGCTACGCAACCTAGTTCTGTACCTGCTTGCAATACTACAACTAAGTGAAAACAGTGTATGGGTGTACCTAGAGATATGGGTGTGATAACATTTTTTGCAGCGGCGCTATTTCAGTAACCTTGCACCACGGCGAATTGTGGTCACCTTTTACGTTTTTCGCGAAAGCTCGTTGCATCGCGCGGCTTTGCTACATGCGCAATCCAGTTCCATCATACACTCATGGTGGGTTGGATGTTTGCCTGATAAGTGGACGTTTAGGGCGCGCCGAGCTGCTGCACGAATGTCAGCGCGGCGCCTGGTTTGACGGCGTGACTCAATCGATAGTCGAGAAGCTTATGGCCACGTCGCTGCGGCTCGATTCACCCACAGGGCACGCCATAACCCTTCTTCGTCCCGATTGCATTGATTCCCGCGTTTCCCCCCGCCAAGAGCGTCCATTAACGACAATGTCCACAATAGGTAACAGCGCACCAGCAGCAAGTTCGCTTCTCCGCGCGCCACGTGGCCGTGCAATCACGTGTCAGCGACGATCGGGTCCCCGTGTTCCTTTGACCTCCTCCTTCGTTCCTCGCCTCTCCCCTGGTTTCACCAGCTCACCTCGCCTTCTGCGGGCTTCCCGGCCGTTAGGATCCCCGTGCCGCGTCGCAAGTTCCGGCGACAGAAGCGGCGAGGATCGCGGAGATGCACCGAGTGACGCCAATAGTAATGCCGATTCAGGAGCCGGAGGGAGCTCCCTCCGGCTGGATGGGGTAGTGGAGGAGATTACGGAGGAGTTTAGGACGGACGTCCGCGACGCGCAGATTCTGCTTGCAGCGATCCGAGCAGCCGTGATCGGGGCAGTAGAAAATATTTTCGGGTCTGCCCGCGAGCAAGCAGCAGCAGTGAAGCGGCGCGGCCTGCCAAAGCTGCTGGCTGCGAAGCGGTGGCACCAAGTGGACCAATGGAAGGTGGGTGACGTGGCAAGGAAAGCTCTGGGGAAGCAACATAAAACCGCGGAAGGCGGAAGGCTCAAGGGAACAGCAATGTTGCTACTGGGGAATCAGGGTTCAGGGTTTTCTCGCTCCACATTGCTTTACAGCGATTCCTGTGCAGCCCGTGTCTCCATTCCCCTCCCCCCACCACCTCGAATCCACCTCCCTTCCCCCTCCCCTCCAGACCATTACCGTGAGCAGTCAATTTGCAAACGTTTAGGCCTGTCAAATTCCTCCCATCCTCCGTTGCCTCCCCCCTTTTCCCCACCCCTTTCCATCCTCCTTCCCCCTTCCTTCTAATCCCCCCTGACCCCCCACTCTCACTCACTCTCCCTGTCTTCCCCCTTCCCTCCTCTGCCTGGGCATTCATGGGGTCATGTCATGCTACAGAACCCCCAGTCTTGGACGGCGCTGCGGTGGGTTGTAGCGGCGCTCTACCTCGCCGCTACATCCAAATTGACTCATGATTCCCCCCTTCCCACTACTTCCTTCACCCCCCCTGGTCATGCTACAGAACCCCCAGTCGTGGACGGTACTGCGGTGGGCTGTAGCGGCACTCTACCTCGCTGCTACAGTCGTCTTCTGCCGGGCGGCGGGCCGCACTGTAGCTGCCAGGCTGGCGAGCCGGCCTGCCTCGGTGGAGCGGTTTTTGGAGTTTGCCATCCCAGAACCTACCCCTGAAAACGTCCGCCTGTGAGTCACACGGCGGTTGGGGAGGGAGGGTGAAGGGAACACGGGGCATAACAAGGGAGAGAGGTGGGCGAGGGGGTGAAGAGTATTTTGAGGCGCCTCAAAATACACCTCACTGCACGTGAGTCACACGGCGGTTGGGGAGGGAGGGTGAAGGGAACACGGGGCACAACAAGGGAGAGAGGTGGGGAGGGGGTGAAGGGCGGTAGGGAGAATCGGATACATGAAGCGTGCGCGAGCAGCGGTGCAGGCCCCGCCAGGATTATTGGTGGTGAAATGGAGGATGGACCGCGACGGGCAGCGGAAGGGTGCATCTTCTCTCTTCAACCACCCCGCCTGCTCTCCCCTCATGTTTCCCCTCCCTTCTTTCCTTCCCATCCCTCCACATCTTCTTCTCTCTCGCTCCATCTCCCCCCCTCCCTCTCAGGGTGCGTGAGCAGCGGTGGAGGGCGCAGGCGCCACCACCGGGGCTATCAGTGGTGAAGTGGAGGATGGATTGCGACGGGCGGTGGGAGAAGGACCCTTCTTTTGCCCCCACTCCATCCATCTCTCCTCACCTCTTCCTTCCCTCTCATGCTGTTGTGATTCTCAGCGTGCGTGAGCAGCGGTGGCGTGCACAGGCACCACCAGGGCTATCAGTGGTGAAGTGGAGGATGGACCGAGACGGGCGGTGGGAGAAGGACCCTCTCTTCCCCAGCCAATCCACTTACTCTCCCCTCGCCCTCTTCAACCCCCTGTCTCTCAGCGTGCGGGAGCAGCGGTGGAGGGCGCAGGCGCCGCCAGGGCTGTCAGTGGTGAAGTGGAGGATGGACCGCGACGGGCGGTGGGAGAAGGACCCTTCCTTTTGTCCCCACTCCATCCCACTCTCCTCCCCTCTTCCTTCCCTCTCATGCTGTTGTGATTCTCAGCGTGCGGGAGCAGCGGTGGAGGGCGCAGGCGCCGCCAGGGCTATCAGTGGTGAAGTGGAGGATGGACCGAGACGGGCGGTGGGAGAAGGACCCTTCCTTTGTGGGCGAGACCGCGTGGCAGCATGAGGGAGACCTGGACCGTTCCACATCCACTGGGCTGCTGACACGTGGCAGTGACAATGCTAGTGCTACGAGCGGCAGTGTCACGGCTGCTGCTTCCACCACCACCATCACCAGCGGCAGTAGCAGCAAGGGCGGGTGGAGGGAGCGGTTGCAGCGGTGGGAGGAAGCAGTGACGGAGGGCGATATCAAGGACCTGTTTGAAGAGCCGTCCAGCCGGTGAGCGCACTGGTTCGTTCTACAGGGTCCTGTTCGAACAGGCCCTCGTGTGATAAGCGACCGGTGAGAGTCCCTGCGGGAGAGAACTGCATGATATATCGGACCTGTTTGGTCGGATCTGGGGACTCATCATGACTGGGAGCTTGTGGGCCGGCAAGCCGTGGTGGGTGGGGGCTGACACAGCATGAAGGACCTGTTTGAACAACCCACCAGTCGGTGAGATCCCCCGTGGGGAAGGGCTGCCTGATTCATTGAACCCATTTGAACCCATTTGAGTATATGATAGAGGCTTGGATAGAGGCGTGGTGGAGCGCAAAGGGGAGCATGCTCCGTCAAGAGAGCTCATCTGGACCCAGTAGGAGGAGGAGATGGGCCTCTTTCTCTCCCTGCCCACCCGTTCTTCCCCACCTGCCCCCATCCCCCCTCTCTACCCCAGCTACGAGTACGTGTAAGACTGGGTTCTGATTCAGGCGCAGCAGCAGGAGGAGAGGTGTTGACCAGCCTGAGATAGCCCCTTCTCTCTCTCTGCCCTTCCCTTTCCTACGTTGCCACCCCTATTCCCTCCCCTCCCTCCTGCTTTCCAGGTACGAGTACGTGTACGATTGGGATCTGATTCAGGCGCAGCAGGAGGAGGAGATGGCGAGGCGGGCGCGGGGGGAGGGCGAGGCGGACAGCCCCGCCGTGTGGCTGCAGCGGCGGTGGTGGAAGTACCGACCAGGCATGCCGTACGTGTGGCTGCTGCACAAGATACAGACCAACGAGGTGGATGCAGCGGTTTTCACGGCTGACATGCGCCGGCTCTATGTCACCATGAAGGAAGGGTTTCCTGCTGAGTTCAAGGTGAGGGGTTCAATGCATGGGCCGTGGGAACGGGCTGAACGCAATGTGATGGGCTTCAGCCGCCACGCTAACTGCTCATCCATGCACCCTCACCCTGTGAAAAAAGAAGAGTTTTGAGACGTCTCAAAACTCATTCGTGCACCCTCACCCTGCCACGTGGACGTCAGTGTCTCTCTAGGCATAGTTTAATCCCCTGCCCCTCCACCCATACCCCCCCCCCACCCCTCACGCGTGAACCTGAGCCCTAATCCGTGCGCCCGCACCCGCACCCGCACCCGCACCCCACCAGGTGGACATCCCAATCGACCCCTTCCTCTACCCCTCGCTGCTGCTCAAGGGCGTCAACGTCGACATGCTGCCCACTTGTGTCCGCATGTCCAATCCCTCATCCACTAGTTACTGAACCCTCATCCATGCGCTCTCTCTCCCTGCACCCCACCAGGTGGACATCCCAATAGACCCCTTCCTCTACCCCTCGCTGTTGCTCAAGGGGGTCAACGTGGACATGCTGCCGCGCTCGCGCCTCTTCTTCCTGCGCGGGGTGGCCGCCCTGCTGCCCTCGCTGATGCTGCTGGGCGGCATCGGGGCGGCGCAGACCGTCTTCAAGCGGCGAGTGGACGAGAAGATCCATGATTACATCTACATGGACCGCTCGCAGCTGCTGCTGGTAGGTGCTATCTGGACAGGTCGCAGCTGCTGCTGGTGGGTGCTATCTGGACAGGTCGCAGCTGCTGCTGGTGGGTGCTATCTGGACAGGTCGCAGCTGCTGCTGGTGGGTGCTATCTGGCCTAGTGCTTAGCCCACCGATTAAGATAGTCATTACTGAGCTTGCAGCAATCTAGCAGGTTTTTCACTAGAAAGGCCTATTTCCGCTCATCACTGCCTCATCACTGCCTCAAACCTTCTGCTCCTCCTTGTCCTCATATTTCCCGTTTTCCCTCCGTCCCTCCACTTCCCTCCCTTCCCACCCTTCCTCAGCCCGAGGACGTGCACAGGGAGGGGCAGCGCAGCGCGTACGACGATGTGGTGATGGCGGATGACATATGCATTCCAAAGCACCCTCTTCCCTTTCTCCCTTCTCCTTTCGCCACGCTCTTCCCAGATCACCATTCTCCTTTCCCCACGCTCCCCCCTCCCTTTCCCTCCCCTCCTTCCCTTCCCCCTCTTCCCCAGCCCGAGGACGTGCACAGGGAGGGGCAGCGCAGTGCATACGACGATGTGGTGATGGCGGATGACATCTGGGAGGTGCTGGAGGAGGTCATGGCGTACATGCGCGACCCCATGGCCTTCCACTCGCAGGGCATCAAGCTTCCCAGAGTGAGTTCCTTCCCTTGTGTCGGGGGCAGTGAGGGGTGTATAGGCCATGGAGGAGCTTTTGAGACGTCTCAATTGTGTCGGGGGCAGTGAGGGGTGTATAGGCCATGGAGGAGCTTTTGAGACGTCTCAATTGTGTCGGGGGCAGTGAGGGGTGTATAGGCCATGGAGGAGCTTTTGAGACGTCTCAATTGTGTCGGGGGCAGTGAGGGGTGTATAGGCCATGGAGGAGCTTTTGAGACGTCTCAATTGTGTCGGGGGCAGTGAGGGGTGTATAGGCCATGGAGGAGCTTTTGAGACGTCTCAATTGTGTCGGGGGCAGTGAGGGGTGTATAGGCCATGGAGGAGCTTTTGAGACGTCTCAATTGTGTCGGGGGCAGTGAGGGGTGTATAGGCCATGGAGGAGCTTTTGAGACGTCTCAATTGTGTCGGGGGCAGTGAGGGGTGTATAGGCCATGGAGGAGCTTTTGAGACGTCTCAATTGTGTCGGGGGCAGTGAGGGGTGTATAGGCCATGGAGGAGCTTTTGAGACGTCTCAATTGTGTCGGGGGCAGTGAGGGGTGTATAGGCCATGGAGGAGCTTTTGAGACGTCTCAATTGTGTCGGGGGCAGTGAGGGGTGTATAGGCCATGGAGGAGCTTTTGAGACGTCTCAATTGTGTCGGGGGCAGTGAGGGGTGTATAGGCCATGGAGGAGCATGGCAGATGGCAACTGGGAATATGAATGGTACGGGAGCAAGGAATGACATGCTGTGCTCCCCAGAGTGACTCTCCTCTCCCTAGGGTGAGCGTCACAATAAGGACACCCTAACCCTTCTCAAGCACACATCCTTCTCAACACCCCAACCCTCCAACTCGGTATGCGCATCCAAGGCAAGCCCCCTCTCCTCCCCACCCCACCCCGCCTGCCTTCCCTTAGGGCAGCATCCTCTTCAGCAGGCCACCTGGCACAGGCAAGCCGCTGAGCTTGGACTGAAATGTCCACGGCTCCCCCACACACTTCCCCACCAAACCAACCACTTGTGCTAAATGCACCCTGCCCCATTCCCCCCAATCCCCTCAGGGCATCTTGATCAGCGGCCCACCCGGCACGGGCAAGACGCTGCTGGCGCGGTCCAATGCGCTTCAAAACCCTATCCTTTTCTCCCCCCTCCCTCCCCACCAAACCCCCCTCCGCCTCCCTCTCAGGGCATCTTGATCAGCGGCCCACCGGGCACGGGCAAGACGCTGCTGGCGCGGTCCATTGCGCGCGAGTGTGGGCTGCCGTTTGTGTTCACGTCGGGGGCGGAGTTTGTGGATTCCACATCGGAGAGTGGGCTGGATAAGGTGTTCAACATCTTCTTCACTGCGCGCGCCAATGTGAGTGAGGGGAGGGGAGGGTGGGGGAAGTGGAAAGGGAGCAATGTGAGTGTAAGGGGCGGGGTTTGTGGATTCCACATCGGAGAGTGGGCTGGATAAGGTGTTCAACATCTTCTTCACTGCACGCGCCAATGTGAGTGGAGAGGGGGATGGAAAGGAGGTGGAAATGGAGCAATGTGAGGGTAGAGAGTGTGGTGTGGTGTGGTGTGGATAACGTGTTCAAGTCGCCTTAAGAGGCGTCGATGTGGGTCGTACCACACCACCACCCATGCTTGCCTTCATTCCATGTCCCCCTCCTATGTCTCCGTCTTCCCCTCCCACGGCATCTCAACCAGGCGCCGGCATTCCTGTTTGTGGACGAGATCGACGCCCTGGCGGGAAAGAGCGTGCTCAAGGACCCCGAGAGGACCCCACAGCACGCATGCACAACTCATCCCATGCCCCCCTCCTTTGCCACCCCCCTCTTCCTCTTCGTGCATCTTGCCAGGCGCCGGCATTCCTGTTTGTGGACGAGATCGACGCCCTGGCGGGCAAGAGCGTGCTCAAGGACCCCGAGAGGCGCGACGTGTACGAGGAGTTTCTGGCCGAGCTGGACGGCGAGTGAGTGCCCATTCTTTCTCCTAGACTGCTGATCAGCTAGTTTCCATGGCGGAAGGTGTATGAGGCGTTTCTGGCCGAGCTGGACGGCGAGTGAGTTCTGAAAGGGGGGGAGAGGGGAGGGGGTGAGACTGACTGTGCTTTGCTTTCGCTAACAGTTTCCACCAGACTGCTGTTCGCCTAGTGTACATGGCTGAGGGTGTGTATGGGGAGTTCGTGGCCGAGCTGGACGGCGAGTGAGTGCCGGGGGACGGGGGAGACTAGCTGCTCTTTCTTCTGCTACAAGTTCCTTCAACACTGCTGCTCGCCTTTTTTCCATGGCTGAGGGTGTGTATGAGGAGTTTCTGGCCGAGCCGGGCCTTGAGTGAATGCGAGTGGGGGACATTGAGTGAATGAGGCTAGCATGTTAGGGAGTGAGGGATTGCAAGCAAGCGGGTCTTGTGAGGTTTTTCAGTCGACTCAAAAGTCGCCAGGCCAACTTCCAAAGTGGTCAAGAAAATTCCAACATTCAAATCACAGCACCCATCCATACCCCCACCCCCACCCATCAGGGAGGAGCACACGGATGTGGACCGCTTCTCGCTGCGGCAATTGGTGATCCTGATCGCTGCCACCAACCAGCCGGACGAGCTGGACGAGGGGCTGACCAAGGCGCAACCATCCCATCCATCCCACCCCCTCCCCCTCACCCCACCAGGGAGGAGCACACAGACGTGGACCGCTTTTCTCTTCGACAGTCGGTCATTCTGATAGCGGCCACCAACCGCCCGGACGAGTTGGACGAGGGGCTGACCAAGGCGGGGCGCATCGACCGTGAGATCCACGTGGGGCTGCCCAGCGAGGAGCAGCGCATCGCCATCTTTGGCGTTCACTCCCGCAACCGATTGCTTGATCCTTCTGTGGACTTCTCCAAGGTGTGTGCGATCTGTGCTCTGTGCTTCTGGGTGCAGTGCAATTCGGCTTGACTTGCCTCGGTGTCTGCCAGGTTGACCCACACCACACCACACCACACAACAACTCACCGCTCTCCCCAACCCCCTTGTAAAAAGGGTATGTTTGAGACGTCTCAAAAATTCGGCTTGGCTTGCCTCGGTGTCTGCCAGGTCGTCCCACACCACACCACACCACAACTCACCGCTCTCCCCAACCCCCTCCCTCTCTCCTCACACTCCTTCTCCCAGGTTGCCTTTCGCACAAAAGGGTACTTAGGAGCAGGGATGTCGCAAATTGGTGAACGGGGCGGGGGTCATGGCAGTGCGGTTTGTGTTAAGTTGGCCCAAACCACAACCCACCCCTCTCGAAACCCCTACCACCAGGTTGCCTTTCGAACAACAGGCTTCTCCGGAGCGGACATCTGCAATCTGTTGAACGAGGCGGGCATCATGTCGTACAGCTCGATGTGCCAGATTGACCCAAACCACAACACAACCCTTACCATTTCCCCACCCCCCTCTCCCCCACCCGTGTTTTCAGGTTGCCTTCCGCACGATTGGTTTCTCAGGCGCCGATATCCGCAATCTGGTGAACGAGGCGGGCATCATGGCGGTGAGGCGCGGGCACACAGTGATCGAGCAGGGTGACGTCGTGGCAGCGCTGGACAAGCAGCTCTTCGAGAGCCTCGGGATCTCCATGACTGACGATGAGCAGCAGAGATTGTTTGCCAAGGTGAGTGCAAGGGTGTGGTTTTTGTTGTGTGTGAGTGTGTTGTGTGTGATTGTGTTGTGTGGGATTGTGTTGTGTGTTGCATGTGAGAATGTGTGTGGCAGCGCTGGACAAGCAGCTGTCTGAGAGCCTCGGGATCTCCATGACTGATGATGAACAGCAACGGTTGTTTTCCAAGGAGGGTGTGTGCCCTGTGGATGGCACGTGTGGCGTGTGTGCTTGTGTGGGTGTGTGAGGAGTGAGTCAGTGAGTGTGTGTATCTGCAACTGTTAGTATGTGTATGCCACGCACATACATTCCATCCAGCCAATCCCACACCATGATGCATGGTGCCATCCATTCAGACAAACACCCCACCATGCATCATGCATGCCCATGCCAGTACACGAGGCGGGGTCCCAGCAGGTCCCAGCAGAGTTGAGGCGGGTGCTGGCTGGCAGTGCACGAGGCGGGGCACGTGCTGCTCTCACACCTCTTCCCCGCCTTCTGAGTCGGACTCAAATGTCCCAACATTGCATTGCCCACCTGTCTCCCTGCACTTGCCTGCTCTGCCCTGCAGGTCCCAGCGGAGGTGAGGAGGGTGCTGGCAGTGCACGAGGCGGGCCACGTGCTGCTCTCGCACCTCTTCCCCGCCTTCTGAGTCGGACTCAAATGTCCCAACATTGCATTGCCCACCTGTCTCCCTGCACTTGCCTGCTCTGCCCTGCAGGTCCCAGCGGAGGTGAGGAGGGTGCTGGCAGTGCACGAGGCGGGGCACGTGGTGCTCGCACACCTCTTCCCCGCCTTCGACTGGCACGCCTTCACCCACATCCTCCCCGGCGGCCAGGTGGGTTATCAGGCGGCCAGGTGGGTTATCAGGCGGCCAGGTGGGTTATCAGGCGGCCAGGTGGGTTATCAGGCGGCCAGGTGGGTTATCAGGCGGCCAGGTGGGTTATCAGGCGGCCAGGTGGGTTACCAGGCGGCCAGGTGGGTTACCAGGCGGCCAGGTGGGTTACCAGGCGGCCAGGTGGGTTACCAGGCGGCCAGGTGGGTTACCAGGCGGCCAGGTGGGTTACCAGGCGGCCAGGTGGGTTACCAGGCGGCCAGGTGGGTTACCTGGGCAGTCAGTTGGGTTGCCAAGCGGTCAGGTAGTCGCCAGGCGGTGAGGTAGAGCTACAGGTGTGCTGGTGGTATTTCAGGTGGACATGTGCGATTCTAAAAAAGCCAACCTCCGTTCTGCTTCACACGGCCTGCTTCTCCCCCAAACTGCTCACTCATCCTTTCTCCAACCCCACTCGCCTGCTTCTCCTCTCCTCTCCCGCACACCTCCCCTTTGTCAACCCCAGGAGCGGGCACTGTCAGTGTTCTACCCGCGGCAGGAGATGCTACTCAAGGGCAGCACGAGTGTGGGGTACCTGCACATGCAGATGGTGGTGGCGCACGGCGGCATGTGTGCCGAGCGCCTCGTGTTTGGCGACGACCATGTCACGGACAACGGCCAGGACGACCTCATGAAGCTGTCGCAGGTGAGACGCGCTGCTCCAAAGGGAGAGAAAAAAAAAAAAAAAAAAAAACACACACACACACACACACGCACACACAAATGATTTGAGTGAGTTTTGAGACGTCCACCACGTGACTGACATGACAACGGCCAGGACGATCTCATAAGGCTCTCACAGGCGAAATATGTTGTTTCGAGTGAGAAACGCAACTTGAGTAAGAGTATGATGTTTGTGTTTTGATCCTTCCTCCTGTCCAACCCCTCCACAGCACGAGGCCCCCTTCTTATCCTCTCTTTTCCCCTCCATGCACCCCACGTGCACCCCTCGTGCACCCCACGTGCACCCCCACGTGCACCCCACGTGCACCCCACGTGCACCCCACGTGCACCCCACGTGCACCCCACGTGCACCCCACGTGCACCCCCACGTGCACGCCACGTGCACCCCACGTGCACGCCACGTGCACCCCACGTGCACCCCACGTGCACCCCGTGCACCCCACGTGCACCCCACGTGCACCCACGTGCACCCCACGTGCACCCCATGTGCCCACCACCTGCACCCCCACCTGCACCCCACGTGCACCCCATGTGCACACCACCTGCACCCCCACCTGCACCCCACATGCACCCCATGTGCACACCACCTGCACCCCCACCTGCACCCCACGTGCACCCCATGTGCACCCCACCAGATCGCACGGGAGATAGCTAGCAGCCATGCGAACCCGCGGTTCGGTTTGCTGCCCATCACGATGCACCCCATCATGGAACCGCCAGGCTTCCCAGATGAAGTCGAACTCATCCCCTCCTCCGTACGTGCCGGGCTTAGGCAGGGGTTCAGGGCTTAGCCTCTGGGTCAGGGTTTAGCCTCTGGGTCAGGGTTTAGCCTCTGGGTCAGGGCTTGGAATATGGTTTAGGGTTTAGCCTCTGGGTCAGGGCTTGGAATATGGTTTCGGGTTTAGCCTCTGGGTCAGGGCTTGGAATATGGTTTAGGGTTTAGCCTCTGGGTCAGGGCTTGGAATATGGTTTAGGGTTCGGGTTCTTAAGGTACCTCCGCGGTTTGGGCTGATGCCCATCACGATGCACCCCATCATGGAGCCGCCAGGCTTTCCCGATGAAGTCGAGCTCATCCCCTCCTCTGTACGTTTGGGTCTGGGGTTTGCGTAGCTCATAGCTCATCCCTTCCTCCGATCATTCAGGGCTTGGGTCAAGGTTCAGGGTTTGGGCTGATGCCCATCACCATGCACCCCATCATGGAGCCGCCAGGCTTTCCCGATGAAGTCGAGCTCATCCCCTCCTCTGTACGTTTGGGTCTGGGGTTAGCGTAGCTCATAGCTCATCCCTTCCTCCGATCATTCAGGGCTTAGGTCAAGGTTCAGGGTTTGGGCTGATGCCCATCACAATGCACCCCATCATGGAGCCGCCAGGTTTTCCCGATGAAGTCGAGCTCGTCCCCTCCTCTGTACGTTCAGGGCTTAGGGATTCAGGGGGTTCAGGGCTCAACCTCTGGTTCAGGGTCGGACAGGGTTCAGGGTTTTGGGGTAGCTCGTACCTTATTCCATCCTCCATATGGTTTGGGCTCATGCCCATCACCATGCACCCCATCATGGAGCCGCCAGGTTTTTCCGATGAAGTCGAGCTCATCCCCTCCTCTGTACGTTTGGTCTGTATGGTTTGCTGATAGAGTTTATAACGGTATCCAATCTGATGCATGGCATAGCATAGCACTCCTTGGACCTTGTGCCATCACCATGCCCCTCTAGTCAAATGTACTCTTGCCCATCCCTAATCTGCCTTTGCCGTACCTGCCCTGCCCTGCTCCGCCCTACCCTGCCATCCCTTCGCCAGTGGTCGCGGCCGGGCATGCAGGTGGCATCCATGTCAGTGGAAATGTCTGAGATCTTCACACGGGAAGTCACATGGGTGAGTTGTCGCACTCTATTTCAAAACTATCAGGGCCGTTTTGAATCTGTTGATCTCTTCAACGCTTGCTCTGGTTCAATCCAAGTCATATGCTGCATTCTCCTCTCCTCCCCTCCTCCTCTCCTCCTCTCTTCCTCTCCTCTCCTGTTCTTCTCCTTACCTGCTCTCCTGCTCCTGCTCTCCTGCTCTTCTACTCCTACTTCTCTGCTGTTATCCTCCTATCCGCTTCTCCTCGTCACCTGTTCATCTACTCTTCCCCCACTCATCTCCTTCATCTTTCCTTGCCGCATCCTCCCGCATCCGCCCATCATCTCTGTGTGCGTCCATCATGCCATCATGCCATCCCTCCATCCACCAGAACATAGAGCAAACGGAGCGCATGGCAATGGATGCATTGAGGCGCAACAGGGCCATTCTGGATAGAATCACGGACCACCTCGTGGAGCACTTCCGGATCTCTGGCCTCGTAAGTACCCTCTGCTGGTTCGTGCTACTCTGTTGAATTCTCCTCAAAAGTGGTACAAGCAGAGCCAATCTGGCTGGCAGGGCCATTCTGGATAGAATGACGGACCACCTCGTGGAGCACTTCCGCATCTCCGGCCTCGTAAGTACCCTCTGCTGGTTCGTGCTACTCTGTTGAATTCTCCTCAAAGTGGTACAAGCAGAGCCAATCTGGCTGGCAGGGCCAGCAGTATGTCCAGCAGTATGTCCAGCAGTATGTCCAGCAGCCCCAGGGTACTGCCACGGCCGGTATCCTCCTTCAAGTGCATGTTTCCATCGGCTTCACATCCCCCCTCTCTCCACTGTCCCCATGCAACCCACACTGGCAGGAGGCGGGGGAGATATTGCAGTGCACTCCATGCAGCCGCATATGCTGCCAGAGACTTGGTTCTGCCTGTGCACCTGTTCAGCGCATGTCTCCATTGCCTTCACATCTGCCTCCCGTTGCCCCTGTGCAATCCCACACCCACAGGAGGCGGGCGAGATAGTGCACTCCATGCAGCCGCAAATGCTGCCAGACTTGTTGGATCCAGAAACCGAGGCAGATGCGGCAGAGGAAGATGATGCAACAGCCACGCCTCCTGACTGGAACCCGGAGCAGCCAGGGCGGTACCAGTACCTGGATATCTACCCTGCCCCCCTGCACCGCTGCTGATTCCCCCTCACATGGAACCTTCATGAGGCAAGACTGTTCAAGGCGGCTCTCAACCAGTATCGAGGCTGCTCAGATTTGTTTTGACACTGCATCAGTATGGTGCCTGAAGACCATTACACTATGCTCTGCTGCCCATGTGCGGTTGTTACACTTGCTGGTACTTCGTATGTTTTTGCGATGAGATGTGCACACGAGTGTTGCTGCTTAGGTGTAAGTTGTCCCTGGAATTTGGGACGGTTCTCGCCTTGTGTGTTCAGTTTCAGTGCAAACCAGGCTGCTGCGCAAACCCACGTACCCGTACCGGACCCCGGTACTGTTCCAGAGAGTGTGTGTATGTGGTGAACAGGTAGGTAGCTTCTTCAGCATGGAGATAGCATGGCTAGAGTTATGGCACATCAATACCACACCACACCACAGGTTGAGATAGTATGACTGTTTTATACCTGGTGGTTGTGGTTTGAGAAGTCCTCTAGTGAGGCATGCCAGGAAACTCAAGGCACATCACATCACCTACACTACTGTCAGGCATCTACACCAAGCTTTCTCTTCACTTGTCTTCCTTAGGCTTCTCTTCTGAATCCTGTAGCACGAGAGCAGGGTACCAGTCACCAGAAGGTGCACAGGGCAGAATCAGTACAAAATGCACGCAACTGCTGAGCAGTGCGGTGGGTGGGAGCGGTGCAGGGTGAAGAGCAAAGGGCAAAGGGCAAAGGGCAAAGGGCAAGGGCAAAGGGCAAAGGGCAAGGGCAAAGGGCAAAGGGCAAGGGCAAAGGGCAAAGGGCAAGGGCAAAGGGCAAGGGCAAAGGGCAAAGGGCAAGGGCAAAGGGCAACGGCAAAGGGCAAGGGCAAAGGGCAAGGGCAAAGGGCAAAGGGCAACGGCAAAGGGCAACGGCAAAGGGCAAGGGCAAAGGGCAAGGGCAAAGGGCAAGGGCAAAGGGCAAGGGCAAAGGGCAAGGGCAAAGGGCAAGGGCAAAGGGCAAAGCGAGCAGACCTTGGGGGGCTGGGAGGGGGCGAGAGAGGCGAGCACGTCCCGCACAGAGGGGTCATTGGGATCCACCCCTGGCAGCTGCATGGGGGGGCACATAGGTTGGTACATGGTTTGGCACATGGGGTGGTACATGGTTTGGCACATGGGGTGGTACATGGTTTGGCACATGGGGTGGTACATGGTTTGGCACATGGGGTGGTACATGGTTTGGCACATGGGGTGGTACATGGTTTGGCACATGGGGTGGTACATGGTTTGGCACATGGGGTGGTAGTACATGGGTGGCAGGGACACGACACATGGGTACAGCAGGTGAAAGAGCAAGGGATGGGGGGTACATACAGGCAAAGGGATGAGGGGCCCTGGGTGTGAGATGGGGGCGATGCAAGCAATTGGGTGAGGGCAAATCAAAGGCGAGGTCAGGTTTATAAGATCGTAGATAGACATGGAGGACGCAAGCAGTTGGCTGCATCAAAGCAACTGACATCTCCAGGCGACTTATGAGTCGACTCAAGAAGGGAGCACGGACAGCATACCGAGGAGAGAATGGAGTTGACAAAGGAAGCATCACCCAACACTTGACTCATGTCCACGTCTCCAGGCGCTGCCGCTGCTGCTCCTGCTGCTGGTGCTTCACCTGCCACCCCTGCTGCTGCCGCTGCAGCCTCCTTCTTGCCTTCCTCTGCTGCCTCCTGCATCGACAGCTGCAGGGCTGGTGGTAAGGAGGGCCAGGGGTGGGAGTAAACTTTTGAGTCGACTCAAAAGTCGCTGCAGCCTCCTTCTTGCCTTCCTCTGCTGCCTCCTGCATCGACAGCTGCAGGGCTGGTGCAAAGGAGAGGCAAGAGGGTGGGAGTAAAGTAGCGTTGTCAATAATATGGTAGCGATTTTCGCCTATGTCACAAAGAAAACAGGAAAATTATGGGGCATGGAAGAGGAGCATATGAGGCGGACCAAACGTGCACAGGAATGGTAAAGCTGGTGCTCAAAGGGCCATTTCGAGGCACATCAAGAACCGTGCGCACGTGCGCACACATGCTTGTGTGAAGGCAATATTGGACCAACTCTCCAAAGTTGTCGCACATAACACGGAGACGCCAGGAGCATACAGAGTGGGTCACTCACCGAGTGCCAGCTCAGCATCCTCCCCTCCAGCAGCAGCATCCAGCATGGCAGCATCTCCCGCCCCTCCTGCTGCCCCTGCTGCCATTGACATGGCCAGTGCTTGCTGCAGCAGCGCTGTCTCGTCGTCCTGGTGTGTGTGAGGAGACAGGGAGAAGGATATGCGATCGAGGGAAATGAGTAGGTGCTGCCAGGTCCCACCCCACCCCACGACTACCAAGTCCCATCCCACATTCCAGCATCCCAGCGCCTCCCGCCCCTCCTGCCGCCCCTGCTGCCATTGACATGGCCAGTGCCTGCTGCAGCAGCGCTGTCTCGTCGTCCTGGTGTGTGAGAGGACAGGGAGAAAAACTGGGGGAACAGGGCAGATGAACAGGGGAGAGAAAGATAAGCAAATGCAGATCAGTACTTGCTGCCAAGTCCCACCCCACATTGCATCATGCCAGCACTCACCATCGCAACATCACCAGCAGCAGGAGCAGCAGTGGCCCGCCCCTCCTCCGCCTTCTTCTCCCCCTCGCCCATCGCCACATCCCCCTTCCCCCCCTCTCCCGACCCACCCTCCCCTCCACTCCCTCCCTCACCCCCAGCACCCCCAGCAGCCTGCTGCTCAGCGGCAGCCTTCCTAGCAGCAGCCTCCTGGCGGGCTCTCTCCTCCTCCATGGACACGCGCAGGGCCAGGGCGAGCTCCGGGTCAACGCTGGGGTCAACGCCAAAGTCAAAGTCGCCACCCAGCCCGCCGCCCCCTGCTGCAGCTGCCGCTGCTGCCCCTGCGGCCGCTGCCGCTGCGAATCCGCTACCTCCTTCCCCGTCTCCCGTGAATACAGGGGAACTGCGCGAGGGGAGGGGAGCGAGGGAGGTGTGTAAGCGGGGAGAAGAGGGAAAAGACATTTTAGTACGTTCTAGAAGCAGCCTGTTGCTCAGCGGCGGCCTTCCTAGCAGCGGCCTCCTGGCGGGCTCTCTCCTCCTCCATGGACACGCGCAGGGCCAGGGCGAGCTCAGGGTCAACGCTGGGGTCAACGCCAAAGTCAAAGTCGCCTCCCAGCCCCCCGCCCCCTGCTGCTGCTGCCGCTGCCCCGGCGGCCGCTGCTGCAGCGAAACCGCTGCCGCCCTTCCCGTCTCCTGTGAACACCGGAGAGCTGTGTGGGGGGCAAGGGAGAGTGCGTGTGTGAGTGATGGGTAGGTGTGAGAGCGATGCGTGAATGGGAGGTGTGGAGAAGAAAGGGGACAGGGAGAAGTGGTGAAAAAGTACGTAGTTTACCGGTAGGTGGGGTGGGGAGTCACACGACAGGCACTGACGAGCGATAGCTCTGTACCCAACCTAAGGCATGGCGACCAACCTAAGGCATGGCGACCAACCTAAGGCATGGCGACCAACCTAAGGCATGGCGACCAACCTAAGGCATGGCGACCAACCTAAGGCATGGCGACCAACCTAAGGCATGGCCACCAACCTAAGGCATGGCGACCCACCTGATGAGCACGTCAGAGAGCACAGCGGGGCCGGGCGGCACGTGCAGGAGGTGCGAGTTGTCGTTGCTGTTGACGGCGCCCAGCAGCGCCTCCAGCTTGGCCTGCTTCTCCTCGTCCTCGCCGTCCCACCCAAAGCTCACCACGTCCAGCGCCACGTTGTTCTTCTTCAGCCGCTTCCCCGCCTTCACCAATGTTTCCACATCTGCCGCTACAGGGCTGGGGGTGGGAGAGAGCAAGAGGGCGGTGCAGTGGAGGGTGGAGGGTTGAAAATGCAGAACTCGAGTGGAGCACACCACGTGCAGCGCCACGTTGTTCTTCTTCAGCCGCTTGCCCGCCTTCACTAGAGTCTCCACATCTGCCGCCACGGGGCTGGGGATAGAAGAGCGAGAGAGTGGGGTGCGTGGGGGGGTGGAGGGGTGAGAATGTATGACTGGAGTGGAGCTCGCCACGTCCAGTGCTGCGTTGTTCCTCTTCAGCCTCTTTCCCGCCTTCACTAATGTCTCCACCCCCCTGCCGCTACTGGGCTGAGATCACAGGGTGGGTGGAAGAGAGCAGAGCAGGAGTGGGGTGCGTTGGGAGTGAAGGGGCGTTAATCTGGGGCTCAAAACGAGCTCACCACGTGCAGCGCCACGTTGTTCTTCTTCAGCCGCTTGCCCGCCTTCACCAGCGTTTCCACATCTGCCGCTACAGGGCTGAAGGCAGGAGGGCGAAGTGAGGCGGGAGGGGGGTTGGAAGAGTGCAAGTGTGGGTCGGATATGTTGGGGTGTGAAGGGACGAGCATCCCAGCCTCAAACGAGCTCGCCTTCACCAACGTCTCTCCACGTTCGCCGCCACTGGGCTGAGAGCACGGGGGGTGGGGGAGAGGTTTGGGAACGGGGGAGTTGGTGGTGGGTCCACATGGTCGGCAGATTGCTCATGGTTCAGTTGCAACAGAGGCCTACCAGAGGACTCACACGCATTTAAGTTCCAGGTGGGAACGCACCTGCCAGCCAATCAAGAGCATGATGGTCCTTATTCTGCCGGTGCTCCAGCCAACTGTTCGTGGACCCTCCAACACACCCACCAGCTTAGAGGGCACCTGCCAATGAAACCAACTATGAGCTAACTAACAACGCACCTGCCAATGAAACCAACTATGAGCTAACTAACAACGCACCTGCCAATGAAACCAACTATGAGCTAACTAACAACGCACCTGCCAATGAAACCAACTATGAGCTAACAACGCACCTGCCAATGAAACCAACTATGAGCTAAGTAACAACGCACCTGCCAATGAAGAGCACGATGCGTTGGCGCTGGTTCTTGTTCTGCCGGTGCTTCAATGCCAGCTGCGCCACCTGCAAGCCTGACAGCAGATTCGTGTCTCCCCCCACCTCCAGACCTGGAGCATCACAGTCACAGAATGCACGGGGGAAAAGGAAAGGGGTGGGGTGGGGACAAAATGAGTACATCGTACCAGCGTCTCACCAACTGTGCCCGACGCACCATGCATAGAGGAAAATACTTGTTCTTCCGTTTAAAAAGGAATGAGAGACGCACCGTGCATGGTGGAGAGAATCTTGCCCAGGTCGGCGGTGGGGGTGACGAGCACACGCACGCCCTTACCCGCCATCGTCAGAATGCCCACCGTGTTCTCCGGGTTCGACTGCCATCCATGCGTCGGCGGGACAGGGGGAGTGGGGGTGGAGGAGTGTGGTGGGTAAGAGTAAGAGGGCGCGAGATTTGAGGCGCCTGAGGCATACCCACTGCGTTCTCCCATGACACGAAACTCAGCTCTCGTGTCGCTCACGCGCAAATGCTTCCTCAAATAGCACACCTGCATCTTTTGAAATGTCACACAAGTCGATGCTCAATCAAACACGAAGCTTCCCCGCGTCGCTCGCTCACCTGCGTCTCGGCCGCTGCTCACCTGCGTCTCGGCCGCTGCTCACCTGCGTCTCGGCCGCTGCTCACCTGCGTCTTGGCGCCGCAGATGAGATTAATGGCGTCGGCCTGCGCTTGGAAGCGCGACGGCGCGTAATCGCCATTTCGCATCCATTCAGAGTTGTCCACACACACCACCGTCGCCTGGGGGATGGCAGTGAGGGTAGAGACGGGGGGTGGCGGAGGGACGGGGATTGGCGGGGAAAAGACAGAATACAGCATGTTGAGCGAAAAACGCATTCACTCCGAATTTCCCACGCACACTACCGTGGCCTGTTGTGTGAGGGAGGATGGGGAGGGGGAGGGGGGAAGTGAAGAGACAGGTGAGACGGGAAAAGTCATCGCCAGAAGTGATCATCACGTCAGCATGGATCCTCGGGATTGCCGCGGCAACCACGCGCCAAGCAGATTGCGGATACACGCCATGCAGGCCTGGGGGTGATGAGCGGGGTGGGAAAAGGCATCGCCAGAAGTGAGCATCACGTCAGCATGGATCCTCGGGATTACCGAGCCAATCTCATCTACGCGGAGTTGTGGACACGAGTCATCGTGGAGATAACGGCCGAAGCCTATACCGCGTATGATGCGTCGAATCTAGCCCGTTTAATATTCTCTTCATAACGCGAGTGTACAAACGTCTCCCAGACGTCGGATCACGTTTCGAAACTCCGATGCAAGGTTTCACTTGCCAAGAATCGCCAGAGCGAGCACGGATCTTCAGGACGAACAACGATTTGGTTGCAACGAAACTGGAATTGAGTTAATTTGTTACCAGAATACCTCGAGAACCATGGCTGCTAGGCGTCGATTGTCGGGAAGCCGGGAGGATGCTAGCCAGATATGGTAGACGCAGCGAGTAGACGGGATATGCTAGCCGGGATGATGCACGGCGTACACGACTAGCTTTCCACTAACTAGCACAGTGACAGATTTGTATTCTGGAATTATAGCAGATTTGTATTCCCTATGCCGCAGCAACGGAGATGGTACAAGAAGTTGAAAATGGCGGGGACATGTCAGAACTCTGCCACGCTATAAGCAGTTTGAGTCATTGCGGACCTCCTGAACCAGGTTTCTACTTGTAAAATCTCTGTTTCCTTACTTCGCATCCCTGCTCAACGCGTACATCACTGTAGCACCACAGTCAGCACCGTTACCACTCGCAATCCTCGCATCGACAATCCGCCCGCCACCTTCGCACGTCGCACCCCGACCTCACGGCTCGGCGGGTAACCCGCACTCCGGGCCTCCGCTTCGACACTTTTCCCAACCTCAGTCCCAGGCCCGTCGCACGACAACCACAGTCCATTACCGTTACCACTGTAGTTTCGCTATATATTCTTCGTTCATGCCTTCGCTCATTGTACTCTTGCTACTCATTGAACATTCCAGCACCACCACACGCACCAACAAATTGTCAAATGTTGTAGCCTATAGTGAGGTTTGTCTTAGGGGGTACAGAAGTTAGGGTTTGTTATATATACCCCAACCAACATCAATGGAACCATTCATTCCTCATTTTGACATGGTATCAGCTAGGTTAGGATCCTGTGGGATCCCGTTCCTCCGTTCTCCGTTCGTACCTCCCGAGCCTGATCCTACCTCTCGTTCGTACCAGTTCCGTTGTTACCGCGCCTAGTACCGAGCCTAGCGCCCTTTCCCCCCGTCGCGTCACGCCCTTTCCTGAGAAGAAGTGAACGAGAATGAAATGACTATGAACGAAGTGAGTACAAATAGGAAACCCTGATTGGGTTGTACCCCTTATGGGATACCCCACTATAGCCTACAGAGACAAGTAAGCTATATGTTCTGACACACCCCCATAGGCAAAGTGGGGGAGAACAAGGGGTCACAAGACCAGTCAAGCAAAGCAAAGCAAAGCTCAGGGTGGATCACAAAGTCACCACGCATTCCGAGCACAAGTTCAAAGGCCAGAAGGCCAGTTCACATGCAAGATCATATATAGAGATATACAAGAGGCAAACAAGCAAGAACAAGAGTATATATAGGCGAAGGTACAAGCAAGGTCAAGAGGAGAGCAAGTGAGGCAAGACAGGCACAAGACCCAACTGCATGCAACAACGCTGATGATCACAAGGCACAAGTGCCTTAGTGAAGACATCAGCAGTGTTGGCCTCAGAGGCCACGTACGCAAGTCGCAACTGTCCACGCTGCTGTAGCTCACGAGCAAGAAAGTAGCGGAGAGCAATGTGCTTCGTTCTGTGCTCCAGTCGCTGCTCTCGACACAAGGCCAGCATGGCCTTGTTGTCTACGTACAGGACTGGAGGAGAACGAGGCTGCTCTCCAAGGTCGGTCAGCAGGTAGGTGAGCCAACGTAACTCCTGCGCAGCCATAGCCCCAGCGTAGATCTCAGCCTCACAACTGGAGCCGAGAACAGAAGACGAGCGGGTAGCCCGCCACGAGACAGAGCCGGAACCAAGGCTGAAGGTGTAACCCTGTGACGACCGCTGCGTAGCCTGGTCGTCAGCCCAAGAAGCGTCTGCGTGCCCAGTGAGGACCACTGGACTGCGCCCTCCAAGCACTAGCCCCATTCCCGACGTGCTGCACAAGTAACGCAACACCCTCTTCGCTGCAGCCATGTGCTCTGGTCGGTGTCTCCCAGGAGCAACATAGCGTGCGAGAATGCTAAGAGGGTATGCAAGGTCAGGACGTGTGCAGGTCATCGAGTACATGAGGCAGCCAACAAGCTCTGGGTACGGGCCACTCGACTCTACGGACTCATCCGAAGGCAGAGCTGAGAGTGAGTGGCGAGTAGGCAGAGGAGTGGCCTGAGGCGAGGAGTACGTGAAGCCGAAGCGCTGAAGGACCTGCTGCACCATGTGTGACTGAGTCAGGGTAATGGTGCGGCGCGCTCTGTCCCGGGTGATCTGCAAGCCAAGGTAGCTACGCAGTTCACCCAGGTCAGTGCACGTGTGTCTCTTCTGCAGCTCGGACTTCACGTAGGCGAGTCCAGCAGTGTCAGCTGTGGCAAAGACCAAGTCGTCGACGTACACGAGGATGTAGAACGGCGGCAGAGAGGTGTCGGTGCGCAGAAACAGCGACGGGTCGGCAGTAGACGGAGCAAACCCAAGTGCCGCGAGCGTAGTCCTCAGTGTGTCGTGCCACTCACGTGGCGCCTGGCGGAGACCGTAGACTGGACGCCGGAGACTCCACTGGGTACCAGGAGGGAAAGACCCAGTGAAGCCAGGTGGGCGACGCAGCCAGATCTCCTCGTGCAGACTGCCCTGCAAGAAAGCTGTGCTGAAGTCGAGAGAGTGCAGCTTGTAGTCACGGTGAGCAGCAACGTGCAGCAGAACCCGAAGAGTAGTCATCTTCGGGGTGGGGGAGAAGGTCTGAAAGTAGTCAACCCCCTGCCGCTGACTGAAGCCACGAGCCACGTAACGCGCCTTGAAGACAGGCGGTGAACCCGGCGGCCGCTTCACCCTGAAAATCCACATGCCACTGACGATGTTCGCCCCAGGAGGGGGAACAGCGTCGACGTAGGTGCCTGTGGACTTCCAGGAAGCCATCTCTACATCCATAGCTGCCTGCCACTGAGAGGAGTAGGGACCCTCTATCGCCTCCGCGTAAGAGCGCGGAGTCGGGATGTCTGGTGCATCCGGGTCTCCCTCAGGGGCTAGCAGTACAGACGCGAGATGAGATGAAGCGGCAGCCAGACACTGGAACTCCTCCTGCCTGTCCTCAAGGACGTCCGTGCCGAGGGCACACTCACCCCCGACGGACGGAGGACAGGCAGACTCAGACTCAGCGACAAGACTGGCAGCGTAGTCTAGACGACAGCGTGCAGCAAAGTCGACAAGCTCAGTGACAAGGGCAGACGCAGCAGACGACTCGAAGGAAGGGTCAGTGACAGCAGTAGCAAGGAGACGCGTGACAGTAGGACTGGCAGCACGAAGAGAGTCCGACTCCGGGTCGGCAAGAGCAGGAAGAGAGGAAGCAGGAGGAGAAGGTAAAGGGGCACGCAGAGGAGCAGTGGACGGACGCAGTGACATCCGGTGCGTGCCAGGGACAGGAGGAGGACGCTGACGCGACCCGCGACCACTAGCGCGCTCAGTACGAACAGGCGACGCAGGACGAGACGCAGGCTCACGACGCTCAGTAAGACCTCCAGTCGGACCAGCGTAGGGAGAAGGAGCAGGCAAAGGGGAGGCAGGCTGTAGCTGTGGCTGTGACCGGACAGGCTGCGGACCCTCTAAGGGAGGAGGAGGTGTAAGACCAAGAACCTGCTGCAGGAGCGGAACGAAGTACGGTCGGGGCCGCGCGGCGACGCCAGGAACAGCAGGAACAGCACCAGTACCCCCAGCAGGAGCACCCACTACAGTAGCACCTCCAGCAGCACCAGAACCTCCAGCAGCAGCACCAGGAGCACTGTCAGTCGGACCGCCAGCGACAGGCACAGCGCCAACACCCTCAGCAGCACCAGCTCCAGGAGAACCCTCAGACCCAGCAGCTCCAGCACCCACAGTACGAGCACCGCCGGGACGCGCGGCACCAGTACCCTCTGCAGCCGAAGAACCACCAGCACCAGCAGCATGCCTCCAGCGCCTGGCAAACCACTCACGCAGCTCCTGTGGGGAGAGTGGCTCCCGGCGAGACGAAGCACCCCCAGGCACAGCACCCCCAGGCTCAGCACCCCCAGGCTCAGCACCCCCAGGCTCAGCACCCCCAGGCACAACACCCCCAGGCTCAGCACCCCCAGGCTCAGCACCCCCAGGCTCAGCACCCCCAGGCTGAGCACCCCCAGGCGCAGCACCCCCAGGCTCAGCACCCCCAGGCTCGGCACCTCCAGGCTCAACACCTCCAGGCTCAGCACCCCCAGACTCCGCACCCCCAGGCTCAGCTCCCGCAGCAGCACCAGAGTCACCAGTGACCTCGAGAGGCTCGATCGGGTCTACCTGGGACACACCTGAAGGGGCAGGACCCTGAGGGGGGAGGGGGTCTACCGGGGGGGGACCTGGTACCAAGAAGAGCGGGGGTGGGGGGAGGGACGGAGTGCGGTAGGGGAAGAGGCGGTAGTAGGGTACCGACTCGTCGAACGTGACGTCCTGGGAGGACAGAACACGTCGAGAGGTGGGGTGGTAGAACTGCCACCCAGGGGCGTCGGGGGGAAACCCCAGGAAGACGCAGGGAGCAGCGCGAGGGGACAGCTTGTCCGCAGACAAGTCGCGGACAAACGCCCGAGATCCCCAGACCCGGAACGCCGACGCATCGCCAACCTTCCCCGTCCACAGCAGGGCTGGGGAGGTCTCCGGCCTGGAGACCCTGGGGTGGAGGTTGATCTGATGCGCTGCGTACCTGACCGCAAACGGCCACAGAAAATGGGGGGCAGCCGCATGCATCATGGACGTACGGGCGACGTCCATGACCATGCCAATGCGGCGCTCAGCAATCCCATTTTGCTGCGGGGAGTCCGGAAGCGTGAAGGACTGGCGGATGCCTCGCGTAGACAGTAGGCACGCAGAAGGCCAGAGGAGAACTCTCCGCCTCTGTCCGAGTGCAGACGCAACACAGGAAAGTCGGAGCCAAAGCTCTGCCTGAGCTGAAGACGAGCTGCGCGGATCCAGTCGATCAGCACCTCAGTGACCTCACCCTTGCTGCGCAAGGGGAAGATTGTGGTGTAACGCGAGTAGTCGTCAACAACGAGCAGGAAGTAGCGCTCCTGACCTTGTCCACGGACGCGGGCTGGGCCCCACACGTCCATGTGAAGCGTCTGCAACGGGGCCTCTGTCGGAGGAAACTGGGAGGAGTGAGGGGCAGCACGCTGGCGCCCC